GGTAACAATGCAAGGTTGAGAGGACCAGGACTTTCCTCTAGAATCACCCTGGATTATAATTCTGCCCCTTAGAGAAAACTGAGTATCTTGAAGGCAGTGATCACATTAGAAATTAATGCCTGGCATACATTTTTTAATGAATCTACAATCTGCCTACCTCGGGTGACCTGCTGCAGGAAAATTTTCCCATGTTTAAGAAGTAATTCTCAAATGCTAAGGCTACATTATGAGTAAGGGTAGTGGCAGTTTTTACACGAAAACCAAACTATAGTAACAACCTTATTTATGAGAAGAAAGGAATCAGACTTATCATATTTTTGGCAAAGACTTTTGAACCTTATTTTAATTCAACTCACTTTATTTTCTTGCTGATTTTATATGGTAGTGTTCAAAAAGAGAATTCTTTCTCAATGACTAAATCTTATAGTGGCTCAGGGTGACAATTTAGCATCATGAACTGTAGCAAACCAGTTTACAAGACACTGGGCCAAATGTATATGGACTCGAGGAAGATGGTTTCCTTCCCATATTTCTTATAGCTTATTATTGATTCTTAGCCCTAAATGGAAATGCAGGTCTGGGTATAATTGTAGGCTCCCGATAGAATTGATTGGTCAATCTTTTGCTTCTACTGGCCTCCCTCACAAAAAGAGCTTTTAAACATAAACTATGATAAAGAATCAAAATAAAGGGAAAAAAAGCTTTCCATAATAATCAAGATGGTGTGATGGTGGTTTAAGAATAGACACACAGATTAATGGAAAAGAATAAAGTCCAGACATAGACCTGTATATATAAGCTCAACCAATTTCAACAAAAGTGCCACAGAAATTCAATGAGGAATGCCTAATCTTTTCAACGAATGGTGAATAATTTCCATTAAAAAAAAAACAAACCCTGGTCTTTACAGAATATACAAAAATTAACTCAATACCTGAGAGCTAAAACTCTAAAACTTCTATAAGAAAACACAGGAGAAAATCCCTGGGCTCTTGAATTAGGCAAAGACTTCTTAGATAAAACACAAAAGCATGAGCCATTAAAGAAAAAAATAGGTAAGTTACAGATTACCCCAAAATTAAAAGACACTGCTAAGAAAATAAAAAAGACAAGCCACAGACTGGGGGAAAATATTGGCAAGACACATCCGATAAAGAATTTGTATCCAAATAAACACAGAACTCTTTCACTCAATAGGAAAACATCAATAAGAAAATGTGGGCAAAAAATCTGAATAGACACTTACTAAAGAGGATACAAGAATGGCATATAAGCGCAGGAAAAGATGTTCTCCATCATTAGTCATTAGGGAAATCTACCCAGACCACAGTAGATAGGACTACACAGCGACCAGAATCCTACAATGAAAAAGGCAGACAATGCCGGGTGCTGGTAAAAATGTGCACAACTGAACACGTTGCAGGTGAGCATGCGCAATTGTGCAGCCACGATGGAAAAGCCTGGCAGTTCCTCAAAAAGTTAAACATATCCCAACCATACACCCCAGGAATCCCCACTCCTAGGTATTAACCCAAGAAAAATGAAAACGTCTCTTAAAAAAAAAAATCCATATGTGAATGTTTATAGCAGCTTTATTTGTAATAGTCAAAAAAACAAACAATCCAAATATCCATCAACTGGTGAATAAGAAACCTGGTACATCCATAAAACAGAATACTACTACTTAGCGATAAACAGGAATCAACTACTTATGACATGAAACATGGATGAATCTCTAAAGCATTCTGCTAAATTTCAAAAAAGACAAAAGGCTCTAACTCTTATATCCATTTCTACAATGCTGCAGAAAAGGCAAAACTCGAAGGACAGAAATCTGCTCTAAGTGGTTGCGAGGGGCTGGGGTTGGGGGAGAGGGGACTGACCACAAAGAGGGAGGAGGTCTCGGGGTGATGGACATGTTCTATTACGTAACTGCGGTAGGCATTAGATGACTGGATGAATTTGCCAAAATTCACACTGTACGCTTAAAAAGGTAAACTTCAGTTTACTAGAGTTAGTTACACCTCAATAACCCTGTCTTCAGTAAAAACAAAGTTCTTTCAATCTAAAGCATGAATCGGGCATTAATAATCATTTTCTTCTTGTCACACCAAGTGTAAGCCCCACGCTCCCTTCCACAGCTCAAGGGCCAAGCGAGGGCGGCGAGAGAAAATGGAAGCAAAGTGGCATTGTAGCAGAAGAACGTGATAGGTAGAGTGAAGGAGATGCATGCCAAAATCTTTATGAGAGAACTGTATCAGGTAAGAACTGTGGGGGATAACTTGATATCCATTTAATTTTAATGTCAAGGAATTTATCTTACGGACATTTGCACACAAGCCCAGTGTGGCATAATTTTCAATCACAAAGAAGTGGAGACAACTAGCATCCCTCAGTAAGGAGACGGCTAACTACGTTATGGATGTGCAGAGTACACAATTCTATGCAGGGATTCAAAAGACCGAAGGAGCATGAGGGCTCCCCATAACAACACGGAAGTTTATTGAATAAAAAAATTAAGCTGCAGAACGGCACATTATAGTGATTCCGTTAGAAAACATGTTTGCACAGGCGAAGGTCTGGAAGACACAGGCCAGTTAAGTGTTTACACAGAAAGCTTGTGGGAAGAGGCACGTGTGGCTGCAGGATGCTTGCATGGGGTGAAGGAAGACAGTTTTCAATTGTGTACCATTCTCCACTTTTTCCAGTAGACAAATATCACTTTCATGATAAAAATGAGTGAAAATAAAAGTTAAAGAGAAGCAGCACCCCCAGCAACAATGAAGAGCTGCCCGGGGTTTAAGGTAATGGATCCAGATGTCATGCTGCCATCTTCTGGAACAAACAAGCATCTACAGGAGCAACAAAAAACAGACTTTGTAAGGCAAAATGACAAGCGTCACTGCAGTAAGAAAAGATAAGGCAAGGACAAACTCTTCTGAAGCCCAGTTTCCATTTCAACCATTAATAAAAAGAAACAGCTAAAAACAAGCAAGCATGATCAAACACAGAAATAATTAACTTTTCACAAATCTTAGGATACAAACGAGACAGTGGATAAAACTATATCCAAATTGCTTTGATTCCTCAGACCTCTTCTTTTTAAAAAAACTGCCTATTTGTTATTTACAAATATCAACAAAACATTTATAAGGACACATCCTGAAACCAACAAAATGCATCAAGTGTTTACATTTTTAACTGGAGATGCCAGAAAACAAGAATTTTACATTTGAAAGCTCAAGCCAAAAAATCCCACAGATCAAATGTTTCCCTCACCCTCATTAGCACATTTTGAGGAATTAAACATAGCATGTGAAATTCTTAAAATTCAAATACAATTGAGATCATACATCATCATACAGCAAAACGGGGAGGAAAAAGCGATCAGTAGTTTTAGCCTTCACATTAACCAAGAACAGAAAGCTTTTAAAAAAACAAAACCCTTAAGTTTTTACTCTTTTCTTTTTAAATTACCAAAACCAAAAAGCTCCGTTTTTTTTGGGAGGGGGGCAGGTGGTGGGGGGGATTGTTTTCAGTGACAGAGATTTGCCAACTATACCAAACTATAAACCGGGCGAAAAAAGCCCATAAATAATTTACGTGTAAAGATAAAAGAATTTTTTAAACAATCCACCCTTTAGCAGAAGAAATTGGGGATCACTTTGAGTGTTAATGTAAAATACATTTAGTCTTTAGCAGCAGGACTTCCAGACCTATTGGTGCCAAGAAGGTAACAAATAGTCTCTCTCTGAGGCGGGGGAAATGGGCGCTCAGCAGGAGCTTTCTTCCCTGTTGGGTTATTTATAGAGAGCTCTATTTGTTAACATGTTTCTGCTATCAGGGAGAGGGAGAGTTTAATGATTTAAAGGATTTCAAAGACAATTGTTTAATGATATAATGATTTATGTGCATTCACAAATTCCAGATATACAGCAATTTAGATTTTCAAACTGCTGTCATCAAAACAGTGATAGGAGAGGCCACTGCTGAAATATAACTGGAAAATCCACAACAAGTGATAGTACTTGATATTGTGAAATAAAGAGAACTGCTGGAAAAGAGCATGTTAAAAAAGACCACCACCAACTTCATGTTAAGTAAAGAATTTTCCAGGGCCCTTTCTTATGAGTTTCTGGATTAAAAAAATTTTTTTAATGGAGAACCACGAATTAAATCCCAAATTGCTAATTTGGGATTTCTTGGAATAAATCCTAAATGTAACTAATTGGAATGATCTGGAAGATCATTCAACTAAACTGTTCTGTTTTCACCAAAAACCAATCCTGCACCTCCCAACCCACAAAGCATGTAAGAATCTTGTTTGAAGGACAAAATGCTTTCACCTTAGTTATTTATAAACTACATATTCATTTTATAATGCTAGATTTGTAATATTCTTGTTGAAAGAAAATTCCAAAATGCCATGTTTAAGTTGTGACTGTAACCTATTATTATACAATTTTCATTTGAGACAAAGTAAATCATTAAAGCTTCTCAACTTTAAAACAAGTCTTATGATTTCCATCTTTCCTGTTAACATTTATAACCAGTTTTTTTGGGGGGGGCAGCATTTTAAAACACATCTTTTCTCATTTTCTAACAGTGTTTAACCTTGTATTACCTTCAGTTTTTGTAAAATTACATTAATTCTATCATTGTTTTTTAAACTCTTCTCCTGCAGACAGAATGAGTCAATCCTAAAAGACGGCTGATGTTTTTTACAAGAGACTCTAAAGCTTCAGTAAACATGTACTAATGTGAAAGCTTCGGTACGTATGTACTGTGTGGGGAGAGAAGAACATTTTTCATAGAACATTTCCCCCCTTGAATGAAGAAAGTCACTTATTTCTACTTAAAAATAGGTTCAACTCAAATGATTTTATTTGAAACTTTTCCAAACGCCGAAGTTGAACAAAGGATGAGGAGCAGAATGAAAGGATCTTTGAAGCCCGGACGGTTACCTGCTCTGCGGTCACATGCTCCGAAGGAAATGCCAGTCACTGCGTTAGTTCCCAGACACGTCCCGCGCTTTCGAAGTCCTTTAGAGAGCTCTCTCCCTTCTGGCTGGAAGAGGTTCTTCTTTTGTAGCACGGGGACTGAGTTGTATCTTCCGAATTTGCGAGTGTAGACATACAGAGGCTCTTCCTCCTCTTCCCAGGTAAACGGGAAAAACCGGCAGCAAAGCCCTCCTTGTTTTCTTTACCTGGTACAGGGAGCGACAGACTCGGTTTCTGTCCAGAAGACACAGTTTCTTGAGAGAGGGACAGGCTTTCAAATCCTCTGCTGTCAACCGTACCTATTGTTCTCCTTTTCATTCTTTGGGAAGTGTGGGATGTGGAAGGAAATGGAAGTGAAATCCATACAAGCCCTTCATCTTCCGAATCTTTCCGTAGCCTTGTGCTACGTCTTACTTTTGTTTCGCTATTTGTTCTCTGGAAGGTTTGCTCTATGGAGGCTGACAAATCTTTATACAGTTCAGAATTTTCTAAACCAATTTCTAGAGAGCTGCTCACTATGTAGGGAGGTTTGTGATTTCCATTTTTCTCCAAATATAAACTCTGGCCGTCAGAATAACACGTAGAGCGTCTTCTATGCGTCTTTTTTCCACCACTCACACCAGTGCTACTTTGACCCTCTATGGAGTTTCTTCCCAAACCCGCACTCGGACTTTTACTTTCTTTTACGTTGCCACTTAACACCTCTTCATTTTGTAAGTCAGACGTTAAGCGCGTGGGCTGCACTTTTCCTCCGGTAGCTATTAAAAAGTCATCCTGTTTTTCACACTTTATGTTTACATCTTCTGAAATCTTGAAGATTTGAAAAAGGTTTTCCACGTTTTGACCTGCAGCAGCCAATTCCCGGCACGGCAGGATAGCGCTGGATTCTGCATCATCTGATGCCAGGGGCTCTGCGGTCACAGGAGCACAAGAAACATGACTGCTTTCACTCTCAGGGCCAGCTCTCAGTCCGTTTTCGCCTTCCGACTTAATCTCAGCTTTTAGAATAGTTTTACGTTCATTAGTTGCTACGGCACTTATATTTAAATCTTGATCTAAAGTAGCGTTAATAAGCGACAAGGAACTTTTTGTGTAAGAGCTGCAGAATGCAGACAGATAGTATTTATTAAAGCCTTGGTTCATCTGCAAATCTTCTGGGTTCTGGGGCAAAAGAGTCTTTCTTTTAGGAAGTTTCGCTTCTTCAAGTTCACCGTTGGAGTTGAAATCATCTAAGGGCATGGACATAAGTTTAAATCTCACTAAAAAGTAACAATGGAAAGAAAGGTCGACAAATCAAACAGGTGCCATAGTGTATTCTGTGTTTTAGGCTTTCAAAACTCACAAGACTTACAAATGCTACACTGTACTTGCCACCATCTGTCATCCTGCTCTTCCTTTTTTTTAGTTCTTTCCCAAGCCACAGGTTAAGAAAATATGTATTTAATACATGAGTGAATAAAGTACATAATCTCAGACCATGAAACTGAGAAGTGTATCTCAAATTGCTTCCTCTATTCTAATGTACTTTCCACACTACAAGGTCAATTAGCATGAGGCAGCCACTTTTCCCATTTCCCGAAAAACGAATTACTGAAAATGGGCACCACCGTCCTTCTGCAAATTTTCTAGCTATGTTTCCCCAGAAATAGAGTAAAGAAAACTTGGAATTCTGGGGGATCCGAGGATTCAGCCGAAAGGGTGTTTTTTGAAGACACTTAGGTCTTATGCCCTGTGTTAAAAATTTTAATATGATTTAAACAGCACTGTACTCTCAAACGGAGCTATGTTTGTTTCAATATTCTAGAAGTCTTCCCCTTCCACCTCAATCTGACTAAAAGACTCCAGGAAGACATGCCATGTGGAGGCAGTCCTGTGGGTTTGACACACTGCATCACATCACACAGGTGAACGAAACATCATCAATGTTTTAAAGCTATGTAACACAGCCTTAAATAAATACATCTTTTTTTTTTAAAGATTTATTTATTTTGAGAGAGTGAGAATGAGAGAGAGAGAGAGAGAGTACATGAGAGGGGGGAGGGTCAGAGGGAGAAGCAGGCTCCCCGCTGAGCAGGGAGCCCGATGCAGGACTCCATCCCGGGACTCCAGGATCATGACCTGAGCCGAAGGCAGTCGCTTAACTGACTGAGCCACCCAGGTGCCCTTAAATAAATACATCTTAAAATAAATTTTTTTAAAAGTGGGGTGCCTGGGTGGCTCAGTCGGTTAAGTCTCCAACTCTTGATTTCAGCTTAGGTCATGATCTCAGGGTGGTGAGATGGAGTCCCAGGTCAGGCTCCACACTCAGCAGGAAGTCTGCTGGAGATTCTCTTCCTCTCCTTCTCTCCCTGCCCCTCCTCCAGCTCCCACGTGTGTGCGTGCACACACTCTCTCCCTTACTTCATGATCTGGGTACTTAAAATCAGGTCACGTAAGGCAGAGATTAGCATAGGGTCCACTCAGTGGCAACCAACTAATATGTCAGTTGGGCTCTTTATACAACTTTAAAAATCGATGTTTATGTATTTTTCATGGAAATGACATGCTAGAGAAGAAAGGTAGGGGATGGGGATAGAGGGAGGAAGAGAGACAGAAAGGGACAGGGAAAAATGGAAAAGGAGGGAAGCAAGATTTTGCTTTAAACCCTTATAACAGATGATACCACTGGTGATAGATACAAAATCCTTCAGGTATTTTTAAAAAGAAATTCTCTAGTAAGATGCAAGATGGAAAACACATACTAATAGTCATTGTTTAAACATCTTTGGAAAAACTCCGGTCAGGAACTGGAGATATAACGAAGTAAGACTTAGTTTTCAGTCTCAAGGGGATTGCAGTTTGCAGGGGAGGGAGGTAGACGGCACATTACAAACTTGATGGTAAAGGTGTAATGCGAACAAAGACTTTTCCTGGAAAGGCAGCTGGCACAGCTAAGTCTTCAAGGATAAGCAGCATTAGGCCAGATTAAAAAGAGGCGGGGTGGCCAATCCCCTGCCCCAAGACAAGCACATAAAGAGACCGGGGAAGGAGCCCAGGGGCTGGAGCAGCTTGTGTGTGATGATGGGCTAGCAGGGGTTTGTTTAAACTCTGTGCTTTCCGGAAGTTGAGAAGTAGGTAGAAGCCAATAGTCTAGGGTGGCATATACCTTATTCATCCTTGGAGCTATTATAAATCCTACAGATATGTTGCAAATGGAATGCAGGTTCTAAATCTCTGATGACTGACAAGAACGCCTATTTTTTAAAAATTATTCTATACAAAATGAACACATCGAATGAATACATACTCTTATTAATTTCAGCATGATTTTAGTGAATTTTAAAACTCAGCCATTATAAAACAGAAGCAATTCCAATTTTTATCTAACCAGTATGTCAACTGACTTAATCTTTGCCTTCCAACAAAACTGTTTCAAAGTAATCCAGTTCAATTTATAAATGTTATTTCTAGTAGATGCTTAGCAGTGCCAACTCTACTGAAACATCATAGGGCAGGTATTTTTTTCTTGTCCTTAATTATAAAAGATTTATCTATTACTGAGCCATCATCTTGTTTACTCTTCATGATGGACCATAACACTACACAGAATTCATTTGAGCAGAATGCTATAAAAAACATTAAAATGCTTTAAAAAGAAAAAAGGATGGAAGGAAATTATTTCCCCTAAAACTATATGCATTCTCTTGTGTCTTAGTTTCTCTGGGGAGAGGGTCCAGAGCTCCTATCAGATTCTGAAGAGGGTAAACTTTACGAACTATTGCTTCCTTAACTTAAAATTCTCATGGTAATATGAGGGAAGGTTGCTATTTTTATTTGTATGCTCTTTAATAGTGAATGGGAAAAAGGGAAAAGAGGGTGCAGCAGCAAGAAAGTGGCAGAGAAGATAAAACAGCAACAGGACAAGAGCAGGGTACCTGGACACAGCCTGTCGCTGCCTGGAGTGGGAGGCGTTATCTCGGAGAGCTCAGGCAGCTCGGGGATAGGACTGAGGAGCGGCTTCTTCGAAGCAAGGTCTCTTTCCCCGTATAAAGACTTCTGAATGCTCTTCTTTCCCTTTGCTTTCTTCTTCCTGCAACTTTTTAAAGCCTGTGAAATGTATTAAAATGCCGTAATTGGGAAAGATGTCACACCATATACAATTTTGACCCTTTAATTAATTCTTAACGAAAAACCTGAGACCAGTTAGGCCATTTAAAATGTTAGAAATTCTGAGTCAGGCGTGGGGGGCTGGGTAGCTTACACAAAGTCAAAGAGAATATGAAGCAGAACTCAATTTACAGATGCTATGGTAATCAATGGTCTACATTTCCACAAAACATTTGCCAAAGTAAGTTCTGGGTGAGTGAAAGACAGATTAGATGCTGTAGAGTTGACAGACTTAAGACGTGAAGATATTTTTTAAGTAGGATACAGTTAGGCTGACCCGCGATTAACCTAGGATGAGCTACCTACTGGAAGCTATGGGAGACTGTCTTCTGCTCATAGGTTTGGAAGAAGAAACAACAGTTGCATACATAAAAGTTAAAGATAACACAAAGCTAGCTGAGCTGCTTTCCAACAACAGATGATTTAATCAAGATTAAAATGAATAGGTCAAAATAAGATGGGCTAACGAGCACAAGTAGAAGATGATGGACAATGGTCTGGTGATAACTGATGGAAAACACGTGGGTTTCTATAAAAATAAAAACTTCTAATATCTAGAATGTAGTATTAAATTCAGTTTTGACTGTCATGTTAGCAACTGAGAACTAATGTTCACTGTTAAAAAAAAGTTTCATACGGAAAGGACCTCAGGGAAACTCAAACACTGTATTGTTAGGAGCAAAAAGAAACACACGCTATGTGATAATATTGGAGAGAACCAGACTTTAGGTCAACATAAGGAACATGTTTTTAGCAATTAAAACTGCCAGAAAATAGAATCCATTCAAACATTTATTGAGAAACCACTATGTACAGGTATTAACTGGCGAGGTAGAAAACAAAAACCAAACAGGATGTGGTCTTTAGAGGGCTCCCAGTCTAACAGCAAGTAACTGTAATACATATAAACCATGACAGACTCTATATGGACCGAGATGAGTATCTGGCCTACAGAGGGCTTTCAAGACTGCTTCATAAAGCAAGCAAGGCCCTTGTATGCAATGAGTATGAGTCTGAAAAGAATGAAGGTTCACTGCACGGTGATTCAGGGAGTGACAACATTTGATTTTACATCTAAGAAAGATCATTTGGGTGAAAGCACAGAAACTAATGATGTGAAAGAGTGGATGATATTCAAGAAGAGTACAAAAATGGCACAGAACTGTATGTTCCTGGAGATATCTATAGATATCCTGTAAAAACAAAACAAAATAAAACATTCCATGGAAAAATAATTTTAGAACTGTACAAGATAAATGTTCCTCTTGGTGATTTACAATATACATTTAACATTAAATTCTCTGAGAAGTCCTCAGTATAAATAATCTCCATACACACTAGGAAAATGCTGGGTTAACTATTTTTCCATGAAATTTTTTTTATTTATGGAACATCTGTTGACATTCCATGGAACAGTTGGGGAATCGACAGCTTGGTCAATGGATATGGAAACCAAGAGAAAAATCTTAACTTGGGCTCCACGATGAGATGCAAAAGAGAACATTCGACCTCTGGTGCTGGATGCCTGACTCTACTACCTAACAGCCTTACGATCTTAGGCAAGTTACTTCACCTCTCTGTACCTCCTCCTCCTCTGCAGAATCAGAACCACACCAGCACACACCACAGATAACAGCAGTGAGTATTAAGTTAAAGTTAGTTAACATAAGTGAAATGGTTAAAATAAGGCTTGAGCCATACACAGAAGAGCTATGTGTCAGCTTTCTTGTTCTTCTAAATTCTCGTGTTTACTTATTGGTTCCATTTTGAGTTCTTATAGCTAGCTCCATCTCTCTAAATAAGAGGCTCATAGTGTTGTATTTTTAACTTTCTATAATGGAAAATTTAAACACACAACAGGTAGAACAGTATATTGAACCCCAGGTACCCATCCTCTAGCTTCAAGAATTACTAACATATAGAAATCAGGATTCATTTATAATCCCCTTCCCTCAGATTATTTTAAAGCAAATCCCAGGCATTACCCCATTTTGTGTGAAAATCCTGCAGTATCCTTAGGAGACAGAGTTCCTTTTTTCATTCCATAATAAAATGAAACCTTTTATTACCTGGCATTGTATTTTACTGTTGATTTTTCCCTTTTACAATGCCATTTTCCCCCAGTTTTATTGAAATATAACTGACAGATAAAATTTAAGGTATATAATATAATGACTTGATATATGTATATATTGCAAATTGATTACTTTTTTAAATAACAAATACCATTCACTACTTCTAAGCCTTGACAGAGCTAGGAAATCCTTTTAAAGGAAAAAAAAAAAAAAACATGAGTCAGTACTGATGTTTCCAATTCAAATGCGGCCTAACAAAGTTCTGAATTTGAATTTTTATTTTTTATCTAATGGTAAAGTCTGGATTCCTATTGACAGTTAAAAAAAATAAAACACACACACACACACACACACAAAAGAAGCTAACTACTGATACATGCAACAACCTGGATAAATCTTCAGAGGATTAGACTGAGTGAAAGAAGCCAGTCCCAAGAAGTTACACAGAGTGTGATTACATTTACATAACATTCCGGAAATGACAAAATGAAAGAAATGGAGAACAGATTAGTGGTTGCCACTTAAGGTGGGGACAGGCGTGGGAAGTAGGCAGGGTTACACAAGGGCAAGAGGAGACCCCTGTGGCAATGGAAATGGTCTGTATCTTGACTGTGCTGGCATTTTTCTATGTGATATTGTCTAAATTTTACAGGTCATCACTGGGGGAAACTGGGTAGAGGGTACCTGGGAAATCTCCGTAATTCTTGTTAACAACAGCCTAACATCTAAAATGATCTCAAACAGCTTAGACACAAAGAACAAAGACAGCAATTTTCCCTATTATTTCCTCAGAGATTAAATTTCTCCAATTGGCCCATAAATGTCTTTTTACAACTATTCAAATCAGGATCCCAATAAGGTCCTTACACATTCCATTTGGTTGACAGATCTTTTAATATATGGTTCTGTTTTTCTTCCCTCACCATTTATTTGATGAGTAAACTGAGGCACTTGTCTCAGAGAATTAGCCAAACCCTGGATTTGGTTGACTGCAATTAAGGCGTCTTTATTTTCCTCTCTCCCCTACACTTCCTACAACTGGTCATTAGATCTAGGCTTGATTAGATTCAGCTTTGATTTTTTTTTTTTTGCAAAGAGCATTTCATGATGCCTGTAGACGTCCTCATTGCATTGGAAGGACCCTGTTCTCTCCCCTGTGACACTGTGATTGACCGGTTGGGCTCAGGTGTTCAGTCCAATCCATCCATTCTGGCTCCCACACCAGCCTTCTACTTCATGATCAACAACTTCCACGAACGTGTCTTTTTTACTTATTAGCAGAAATTCTCCTATAAATAACTTCCCCTTATCAACTATTTGCTTCCCTGAAACAGAATTCCCGTATTTTCCAGTTTTCACAAAAATGAGTTGGTGTCCTAGACAGCTTCTAAGGTGACCTTTAAGATTTTTTTAACTATTATTAAGTGTTTTTTCATATTTGAAATATGTTTCAACCCACTGCAATTCTTTTTTTTTTTTTAAAGGATTTTATTTGTTTGACAGAGCGAGAGCACAAGCACGGGGAGAGGCAGAGGGAGAGGGAGAAACAGGCTCCCCGCTGAGCAGCGAGCCTGACGCGGGGCTTGATCCCAGGCAGACACTTAACTTAGACTGAGCCACCCAGGCATCCTGCAATTGTTATTTATGAGAGTCACACTGTCCCACATTTGGTGAGTGGAGCCCCCTCGAGATGGTTTGAGATCCTTTCCTGTAGCCCCAGTGGTTTCTTAAGCTTCCTTCATTGCACACCGGTACCAACTCAGGCTCGTTTCCTACATGTGCTGTTCATAAACCTGAAAGCAGCCATCTCACTCTGGAACCTTGATCAGTTTTAGTTGAAAATGGTATTCAGAAATGGCAACCTAGGGACCCGGGGTGCGCGCTGCTTCTAAGCCTTGAAAGAGCTAGGAAATCTTTTTAAAGGAAAAAAACATGAATCCATACTGATGTTTCCAATTCAAATGTGGCCTAACAAAATTCTGAATTTGAATTTTTATTTTTTGTCTAATGGTAAAGTATGGATTCCTAATGACAGTTAAAAAAAAAAACCCACAAAAATCTTTATTTTCTTTATTCTAGATTGCACTCCTCTCTCAACAGGAATCTTCATACTGTTTAAGCTCACTCTCTCTTCAGTCACTCTTGGCCTTAGGATGCTTTCCACAAGGACAGTTCTAGGTTTGAAAGAATTCTTTGTGAGGTTAAGTCACCAACTTGAAACCCAGATTAATTTGTTTCATTTTATTTCCAATTTTTAAGGACCATTCTCTTTTTCATAATTTTGACTTGTTTCACAGTCATGTATAACCCTGACACAGTTCAATGTCAAAAGTACAAAACATGTTCAATGAAGTCCAGCTTTGAGTCCTTCCTAGTCCCTCCTCTGTCCCCTCTCCCTAGAGGTAATCAGTTGTTTTTGACTTATTTTCCCACTTTTATGAAAAGATTTTATGTGTGAATATATACACACATTGACACACAGAAACACACGTTTAATGTTCCCTATTTTCTTAGATAAAAGCGTATATTCATTTGTCATATTGGCTGCCATAATAAAACACCACAGACTAGGTGGCTTACACAGTTTTAATCTCTCTTCTCAGTTTTGGGGGCTGAAAGTCCAAGATCAAAGTGCTGGCAGGGTTGGTCTCCTCTGAGGCCTCCCTCTTCAGTGTCCAGATGGCCACCTTCCTGCTGCCTCTTTACATGGTCTTCTCCCTGGGTGTGTACACACTTAGGGTCTCCTTTTGTGTCCAAACTTCCTCTTATAAGGACACAAGTCAGACTAGAGACCATCCCAACGGCCTCATGTTATCTCAATCACCCAATCAAAGGCCTTATCTCTAAACATAGTCACATTCTGAGGTGCTGGAGGTTAGGGTTTCAATGCAGAAGTATTTTGGGGGCAGGGTGGGGGTGGGATCACAATTCAGTACCAAGAAACCTACTATAATACGTTATTTTACATTTTTTTTCACTTAACAGTAAATACATCCTGGCATCATCCCATTACTGCAAATTCTCTTCACTATTTTCCACAGCTGCAAAATACTTTGTCAACACACCACAGTTTATTCAACCAGTCTCATACTGACGGACATAGTTGTTTAGGTTTTTTTGCATTACAGAGGGTACTGCAAAAAATAACTTTGTTCATATGCCTTTTTGCATTTTGTCACTGGATCTGAGACAGATTCCCAGACATGAGATTGCTGGGCCAAAAGGTAAATTTGTTTCTTTTCATCAACTTTTAAAATATATCTTGGACCCCTGACCTGTAAAGATAATCATAATGACAGCTGTAGTGCTTGCTATGGCCAGGCACTGTTCTAACCATTTTACAAGCATTAACTCATTTAATGCACACAACAAGCTTATAAATTAAGTACCGTTATTACCTTTATTTAAAAACCAATAGAGAAATCAAGAATCTTGCCTGCCATTCCACTGGTAGGAGGCAGTCAAGCCAGAATTTAGAACCTAGGATGTCTGGCCACAGAACGTGCAGTTAACCCCTTATACCGAATGCTAACACCCTCACTGACATCTTCTCTACCCACTTTTCAAATTCTGCTAGTAGCTACATTTAGACCGTCGTGCACAACAATCAAGTTTTTAAAGCTTTGCCCTTAGTTGAAAACAAAGAGCATTTACATTATGACTGTAAACATTTTTCATTGCTCTGCCAAGGACAAAGCTCATCTTCCTTTCCTCTGGCGCCCCCTGTAGGTGACTCCTAGCACTAGAAAACGTACTTTTCCTTACACTCCTTTACTGCTTGGAATCACATTTAACGTTTGCTTCGTATTTACTTTAAAACTTTTATACACGGACTTTTATTTGTTATTATATTTTATATAATTACCTTTCTTTTTCTTCTTATATGACACACCTTCCACTTTCTCAACCATGGGTCTTTTTGTTTCTCTCTCCAGAGACCATATATCCCTGGAGCACCCTTTCCTCTTGCTCAAATTGGGACTGGCTGCTTTTTAAAGCTGGCTGAACAACCATGTTCAGAGACTTCCCTTGCACTTCTCTCCTGTATTATTAGATTCGCTGTGTTCTGAATCCTTAAGCTTACTTCCTCAGTTTGCTAGAGTATCTCCTCCAATAATACCCAAAGAAAAAGTTTCAGAGTCCCTGAGTGTCTAAATGTCTTTATTTTTTCTTTTACACTTAATTGAATTTGGCTGGGTTCATAATATTGGGCTGAAATCAAGTTTCATTCAAAACTTTAAAGGTCCTGTTCAATTACCTTTCAGCATTCGGATTGCTGGTAAATTTGATAATACTCAGATTCTTGTTTCTGGGAGGAAAAGTCCACTTTTCTTGTTATCCTTATTGTTCAATTTCATACTGATAGGCTGAAGTCCTGGTCTTTTTTTTTTTAATTGTACTAGGCTTTCAGTAGGCCCTTAGAACCTGAAGATTCCTTTCTTCCACTATTAGAAATCCCCTTCTTTTGACAATTTCTCTCATTCTATCTTCGTGTTCTTTCTGAGATACCTACATAGTCTCCTAGATTCAACTTTCATGTCTCTTATTACTAGCTTGTTTCTCTTTTGCTCTACCTTCTGGGAGACTTTCCTTTATTCTCTAGTCCAACTACTAAATTTTACATATTTATGAATATTTCTCCCTCTGCTCCTTTTTTATAGCAGCCTCTTAGTTCTATGCAGATAATATTTTCTTAAATCCGAGTATGTCAGGTTTTTTTTTTAAATAAAGTTTCCTTCCATTCCCAGAATAATCTCTCTTTCTGGGGTCAGTTTTTCAACTTTTAAATATTGATCTATCATCTCTTCTTTCTACTCAGTTGTCTGATTTTACAAAAGACTTCATAAATTGGTCTGAGAGTTTCCTCTGCTTTCCAGCTCTGTCTCTTTCCGGCAGGGAAATTCTACTGGCAACTCTGTGCAGGGTGGGGCAGGGCAGAATGGGGAGTCTCAACTGTAGGCTTTGCTTGAGGGCAAGAGCAGGCTGTCAAGACCATGGGACTTTCCAAATGCCAGAATGAGGGCTTTCACCTACATGACAACAGCTGTTCTGAGATGGGAGAACATGGCAGGACAGGGGGTGGGGTACCAACTGGTACAAATTGTCTCATATACAGAACTTCAGTTATTCTGTTTTCCATTACCACTTACCACTCTCACCTTCCACTGGACTTGCCAACACTGGGCCCAGAGTCTCCTGGGATTGCGCAGTGTGCAGGCTGCTTCCCAATGCCTCTCTAACTCCCTCTGAGCGCATCCTGGGCTATAAATCTACCTCTTTCATCTGTCAATGTGCCCTCATCCACTTTTTCTTCCAGAGAGTCACTGAAGGCTGTCATCTGTTGCTTAACATCCCTGCTCCCTTCCTTCCTCTTCTCACTGCTATTCTGAGTCTAGTCTTTATTATATCAATTATTTTAATTCCATGGGGTCCTGGGAGGGGTTGGAACAAACCTTAATGCTCAATCCTCCTTGAACTTTCTGGCTATTGATTTTATGTAAAAAAGTACGTGTACATTCTTTGTAGCAGTGTTTTTTAAAGAGTCTGAAGAAAACCAATTTCCGATGCAATAATAAAGGTGTATGCACATTTTTTAACTTACGTGTATTTTTTTTCAGCAAAGGGATCTTTCAAAGGAGTGTGATCTAAAAGAGGGATTGAACCAGGAAAACCTCCAGTTTCTTCTGGCTTTGCAGACTTGCAGATGTTTGGGCCATGTTTAAACCAGTTTCTGTTTCATGGAACAGGATGGAAGTTTACTGACTGTTTTTTTTTGGGGGGGGGATGGTTTGGGGTAAAATTGAGTTTAGTTTTGGAAAAGTTGATATCTGAGGGGCTTGTAGGATGGGTTAAGAAGTCTGGTAGGCCATTAATCATGTTTATAGATCAGAAAGATTTGGGACACATCAACCATGCCGCCTATGACATCACCCGGAAAATACACAATTTAGAAAGGCAAAGAGTAGAGCTCTGGGTAATACAGACTAAGGCTGGGTGGAAAAAAAATAAACCTTTAACGGAGACTGTAAAGGGATGCTCTCAGTTTTGTCAAATGCTGCTGAGGTGGCAAGGAACCATGAGATCTCAAAAGCTGTACTAGCTTTTAGTCACTAAGTTACTCAACACCTTGGGAAAACAATTCAAGTGAAGAGATGGAAAGTGAGACCAGACTTCAGGTCTTATCTGAAGCTATGACTGCCATCGGAGCACTTGTGAGTCTCTCTAGGAGCAACATTGGATGGGAGAGGGGGTGGGGGTGGATTAATCCAGAGGCGAAGTGGAATGAAAGGGATGGAGAACAGGCATTACTGACAAGAGGTGGTGAAACAGATCAGGCAGCTCCGGGTGAACAAGGAAACGCAGGAAACATGGGATATCTGAAGGCTGGAGGGTACGCAGAGGGGCCAGAAGATCGTTAGTACTGAAACAGGTATGTGAGGGAGTGAGAATGCTGGCTGCAGAGGCAGCTGGGGGCAATGAATGGGACACAGAAGTGTGGACTATTAAAAGTGGGCAGGTCTTAGGGACAAACAAGCTGTGGGGAATGGCAGAGGAAGGTCTGGATCACTGAAGTGGCCGAGGTCCGGTGACTGAGTTAAGGTGCTAGATTGGCTATCCATAAAGAGATCATGAAGTCCCCCTGAGCCAGAACAGGCCTTGAAGTGTCGAGGAAGATGAAGAGCCAGTTTCTAAATTCTTCCTCAAATATGGGAAGAGGTCCAGCCCCTGGCAGAAGTGAAGGCAAACAAGGGGCAGATGGCACACTCATCTTTGTCTAAGAAATGAGAGGGTTCCTTTCATAGGGTGAGGTTAGATTCGATTCAAAGGTAAGAATTTAACATTTGAGTGATGTTTTACTGTGCTAAATGTACATAATACAATGAAGATATAAAAATGGTTCTCGGGTAATTACAACTGAGTATATAACTGCCTCTGGCCCTTTCTATCCTATGACGATTTTAATACTCTTGGTCTAATGTTAACTAGAAAAATTTTGTTTCCATGCTTTCCTAATCATAAAACAAAGAAATGTACCACTTCTACCCTTATTATATCTTTAAACACACACTTACCTGATTTTTTTTAGGAAGTACCCCTCCTGTGCGCTTCCTTTCCTGAGATTTCCTCCTAGTAATTTTCTTTTCTTTACAAGGCTGAGCTTCTGTATTAAGTAAGTTGCAAACATTCTCTTCTGCAAAAGTGATCAATTGCTATAAAGAAAATTCAAAGGAAGGATACCATAAAACACAAGCAAGTGCATTTTGATGTATGTTTCTCACATGTATTTTCCTTCCCACACTGCTTCTACATTTTCTATCCCAGTTCCTTTTAATTCACAAATTCCATTAGAAGTACTTTTATTTTTTAAAGATTTAATTTATTTATTTGACAGAGAGAGAGACAGTGAGAGAGGGAACACAAGCAGGGAGAGCAGGAGAGGGAGAAGCAGGCTCCCCGCAGAGCAGGGAGCCTGATGCGGGGCTCGATCCCAGGACCCTGGGATCATGACCTGAGCCTAAGGCAGATGCCTAACGACTAAGCCACCCAGGCGCCCCCATTAGAAGTACTTTAACCATCTTAAACTTGAATGGGGGAGAAGAGTAACTACCAATTTCTGATCTTATTAAACAGACCCAGAAGCATATGCATTCTGTCCATTATTTTTAGAAAGAAAAAAAATTTTTTAATTAGTTGATTTATTTATCAAATATTTACTAAGCATCTACAATTTAGGAACTAACTCCTGTTGAGTTACGGGTGGAAACATGCATTTAAATTATCTAAATGTGAATTCTAGGTTTATCACCCAAAAATATCAGTTAAAAGCCCCATAATGGTATATTATATATTTATGAATTTAGACAAAAATCCAATTTTATCTAGTTTGATGAAATAGGAAAAGACATGCATTCAATGGGAGTTATGCTCCTACTGAAAAGAGTTAAAACCCAGTGTTAACGGGGCGCCTGGGTGGCTCAGTTGGTTGGGCTACTGCCTTTGGCTCGGGTCATGATCCCGGAGTCCGGGGATCGAGCCCTGCATCGGGCTCCCTGCCTCAGCGAGGAGCCTGCTTCTCCCTCTGACCCTACCCCCCTCTCATGTACTCTCTCTCTCTCTCATTCTCGCTCTCTCAAATAAATAAATTAAAAAAAAAAAACCCAGTGTTAAAAAAAAATTTAAAAAGGAAATATTTTTGTAAAAAGATATAATTATGCCATTTTCTGGCTCTGTTAATTACACACTTTTTTTTTTTTTTTTTACAGATTTTATTTATTTACTTGACAGAGAGAGACAGCGAGAGAGGGAACACAAGCAGGGGGAGTGGGAGATGGGGAAGCAGGCTTCCCGTGGAGCAGGGAGCCCAATGCGGGGCTCGATCCCAGGACACTGGGATCATGACCTGAGCCGAAGGCAGACACTTAACGACTGAGCCACCCAGGCGCCCCAATTACACACTACTCTTCTCCACTGTGTACCTCAATAAAATCCATAAAACCACATAGATCCCAAATAAATGTTCCAAACAGATTACCTTCTACATTAACACAAACTCTGAAAGCAGCTTGTTTTATTGTATTTTTCTTCTAACAGAATTAAAATCAAATCAGAAAAAGAGCATTACCATGGGTTATATGCTACATAGGTAAGGTATTAGCTCTCAGTGACATTAATCAAATCAAGATTTTACCCATAATCCTGTGATCATAAAAACAGAAAAAATCTACAGCAAGATTTAAAAACAAATACACTGTGCCAAATACAAACACTTACACTTCTTCTGTTAGAGGCCCGTGTTATTCTACCAACTTTATGGGAGGCTATTTTCTCATGGTTTTTTGAAGAGCTAAAGGTATCAGTTCCTGATGAAGACGACATAAGCAAAATTAGGGTGGCTAACAAAAAGTTGTAAGAGCCATCATTTTTCAGATATACTGGATACTGTTTTGGATAGGCACCTCTGCTTTTAGCATAATATAATATCTAAACATAAATAATTTAACTACCCAGAATAAATTTTGAGATTCAAAAACATGTTTCAGAACTTTAAGTTTACTGAATACCCAGAAACTTTCACCACTTTCCATAGAGAATGCATACCGTATTACCCTTAACATAACAGATGAAATCATATTACAGTAAATACCATATTTCACTCATGTCCATTTATTCCAAGCTACATCTTGTACAGTGAAATTGCAATAAAGGGAATTAAGATGATCGTGAAATCGTGAATTTTTTTAACTTACAAAATTCAGGTAACTTTTTCATTTAATCACTTTTAATGGTAGAAATGAAAGGCAGTATAATGTATAAAAGAGCATGGGCTTTGGAACGTGACAGACTACACTTCCAGGTTTAGCTCTAACGTCACACTCCAGGTCTTGGATTCTTTAGCAGTGAATCTGGTTTGTGTCTTCCAGCCAACGAGAAGCCACTAAGGGATTTCCGTCAGGGGAGAGACATGAATAATTGTTCCCATGACATTTGTCATCCAAGTCCCGGCTTGCCTTGTCATATCATAAAGAAGACAGGGACTCGAAAAGTGCAAGTGCCCAAGAGGCCAACTTAATGTTGGTGAACAATTCTGGACCCTGGAAAATGACCATTGTGGTCCATGTCGTTCAGTTGTGCCAACTGTCACCAGGAGCTTACTGTTGACAGGAGTTGAGAGGGCAACTCCACTGTCTGCAGGGACTTGAAAAATGGGGCTACCATCTACGGAAGTTAACTGTGGGTGATTACAAGGTGTGAGACCTGGATGGGCAAGAGACCCCCCCCCTTTTTTAAGATTTATTTATTTTAGAGAGAAAGCACACAAGCAGGGGGAAGGGCAGAAGGAGAGGGAGAGAATCTCAAGCAGGCTCCAACTCCCTGCTGAGTTTGGGGCCCTGCACAGGGCTCAATCTTACCACACTGAAATCATGACCTGAGCCAAAATCAAGAGTCAGACGCTTAACCAACTGAGCACCCAGGGGCCCCAAGAGACTTCTTATAAGCTTTACTATACTATATGGTTTTTTAAACCAAGCATGCATTGTTATAATAAAATTTTAAAAGGAAATTAAGGTTTAGTTTCATATATATACATATTGAAAATGACACTTATCTGGTTCTAAGATAAATAAAAGTTAAGATAAATAAAAGTTACTACCTGAAAGAGTCTCAGAGACTGAAGACTTACTAAGAGGACTCAGAACTGCAAATGATACCTGAAGAGGTTCTATGTTTTCCTAAACAAAGAAAAACAAGAGTAGAAATTAGACATCCTTAAATTCAGTGGACATGTAATGTACCCAAAAAGAAAATAAGGATTTCTTTTTGTAAGTGGAACTGTAGTAAGCATAGAGATGGGAAATCAATAAAAGATTAAGAAAAAAAGTCAAAGCAAAACAAAAATACTGAACATAAAAATTTTATAATATTTACTAATCTTCAATGAAACTGTTTACTAACTACAGTCCAACAAATAAAATATTAAATGGAAGTAGCCATAATGATCTATTAATAACTTACTCTTTTGAGTTACTTAAAATTACATGTTCTAATTCTATAGTAAATGGAACATTCCATTAATAAACACAACCTAACATTTCAGTATTATTCAGGGGAACTTCAGGGAAAATGGCAATATAAATGCAGATGTCAAATCTTTTTTTTCCCCACATAATTGTCAGTATGATGGTAGCTGCTGGTTTTTCATAAATAAAACTTGTCAGTTTGAAGAAATTTTCTTTAATCACCAGTTTGCTCAGAGTTCTTATCAGAAATGACCATATGGTTTTTCTTAATTTGTTAACATGGTGAATTATAGATCGTTTTTCAGATATTAAACCAACCTGGCATCTCTGGGTTAAATCTCACTGGGTCATGATGTATTATGTTCATGAGGCGATAGTTTTCTTATAATGTCTGACTATGGTATCAGGTTAATGCTGACATTTATGAACTGCGAATTACTCTCACCTCCCCAATTTGTTTGAAAGAGTATACATAAAATTAGGTCTTCCTTAAGTGTTTGGTAGAATTCATTAGCAAAATCATCTGGACATGCAGTTTTCTTTGTGGGAAGGTTTTAACTACAACTTAAATTTCTTCAGTTGATATTGGGTTAATGAGGTAATTTATATCTTCTAGTCCAAGATTTGGTTGTAGGTATTTTTCAAGGAGTGTATCTAGTTTACTCATGTTGTTTAATTTATTGGCATTAAGTTTTTTATAATACCCCTGTTATCTTTTTATCTGTATTATCCTTCTAAAACCTGTTAGAATATGTGGTCATGTCACATTTCATTCCTTATATTGGTAATTTGAGTATTTCCCCTTTTTTTCCTCTGAATAGTCTGATTAGAAGTTTACTCATTTATTTTTCTAAAGCATCTTTTTTATTTCAATGATTTTTCTCTATTTTTGTTTTTTACTTCATTCATTTCTGCAATTATCTTTATTAATTCCTTCTGTTTACTTTGGCTTTAATTTGCTTTTATTGGGTTTTTTTTTGAGATTTTATTTATTTATTCTACAGGAAGAGACAGTGAGAGAGGGAACACAAGCAGGGCGGGTGGGAGAGGGAGAAGCAGGCTTCCTGCTGAGCAGGGAGCCTGATGCGGGACTCCATCCCAGGACCCCAGGATCATGACCTGAGCCGAAGGCAGATGCTTAACGACTGAGCCACCCAGGCGCCCCCTTTTATTAGTTTCTTAAAATGGAAGTTGGGATCGTTAATTTGAGATGTCTCTTATGCTGAAATACAGGCTTTAATTATTTCCCTCTAAGCCTGCTTTCGTGCATCCCACACATTTTTGCTGTCATTCTGTAGTGTTTAAGGTTTACAGCATACGTGTTTAACTCACACTATTTTGTGTACAGCATAAGAATCCCTCTCAGCCTCTATGCCATATTACTTTTGTTATGTATCTTACTGACATGTTATAAACCAAACAATATGCTCTTGTTATCCTTGCTTTAAAGAATCTGTTATAGAGATTAATAATAATAAAATCTGTTACATTTGCCCACATGGGTTAGCAGCTTCAGTGCTCTTCATTTCTTTGTTAGATTTCCACTGGGAGCCTTTTTTTTTTTTTTTTTTTTTTGACTAAAGGACTTCCTCCAGCATTTCTTCTAATGCTCACCCACTATGGCAATGAATCCGCTCAGCTTCCAGGTGACTGAAAAAGCCTGACCTTCACCTTTGTTTTGAAAGATGGCTTCACTGGATATAGAATTCTAGTCTGACAAGCTTTGTTGTTGTTACTGCTTTGGTTTTCTGCTCCAAGTAAATGCTGCTGCGGTGTCCTTTGGCTTGTAGTTTCTAATGAGAGTTCTGCTGCCTCTCATGTTTGTTGTTCTTCATCATGGGTACTTTTGCTCTAGGTCCTCCCGGGCCATATATCATGGATTCTAAGCAATGATGTGTCTTTTCGTACTATTTCATGTTTCTTGTGCTAGGAATTTAAACTTCAGATTTGAGTTTATAATTTTATCAAATTGGAAAATTTTCAGCCATTATGTTTCAAATATTTTTTCTGTTCTTTCTGATCTCTTCTCTCCTTTGGGGACTCTAAGTGCATGCATATTATGTCACCTAAAGTTGTACCAAGCTCACCAATTGCTCATTTTTGTTCAGTCATTTTTATTCTTTCATGGAGAATAATTTCTATTGCTATGTCTTTAAGTTTGCTAATTTTTTCTTTTGCAATCTCTAATATGCTATATTAATCTCATTCAACATATTTTTCTTCCCAAAGATTATAATTTTCAGTGACTGTAATGTACAGAGTTCAAGTTGGATCTTTTCTGTATCTTTCATGTTCTTAACAAGTTCAATCTTTCTTCCACTTCCCTGAACATATGAAAAATAGTTAAAGTAACTTTTTCAATGCCTTTGTCTACAAATTCTACCATATGTGTAATTTCTGGGTCTACTTTTAGGGATTGATTTTTCTCATTATGGGGCATCTTTTCTTACCTCTATTAGTTTTTAATTGAAATGTCAGACGTTTTGAATTTAATGTCATCTGACACTGGATAGTTTTGCTGTTCTTGAGCTAGGTTACACAATGCAGTAAAGTCACTTGGAGGAAAGCTGTGTCCTTTCAAAGCTTGCTTTTAAGCTCTGCTAGGCTTTTAGTCTAATTCTGTTCTACTAGTGAGGCAATACTCTCCTGAGTACCTGATGCCCTCTGAATTATAAGGTTTTTCTATCACTCAGGTTGCTGGGGACACTTCCTGCCCCTCTGTAAGCTCTAAGGATTGTTCCCTCTGTTCCATTTAGGTAGCCCTTTCCCTGGCATCAGGCAGTTTATTCACAAGCACACACTGACCAGTACTCCACTGAGGCTCAAGTGAGACCCTATGCACATCTCCAGAGCTCTCTGGGCAGCTCTCTCCTCTCTGGTCCTTTGCCACAAGCTCTAGCCTCCTTTGCTTTCCCGGACCCCAGCTCCATTTTCTCAACTCATGGAGACTGCCAGGCTCCACCAAGGTAGACCCTTCCTGTGCTGTCACCTGGAAGTCCAGCCCAGGCAGTAAGTTAGGGCTCCTGTACAGCTTGCCTCATTTGTTACCCCCCTCTTGGGGATTATTCTCCTGTGCTTCCTGATGTTCTATGTCTGAGAACCATTGTTGCATATATTTTCTAGTTTGTTTTCGTTTTTTTGTTTCTTTTGAAAACGTAAATTAGGTCCCTGTTACTCCACCTTGGCTGAAAGTGGAATATTTTTATTTCAAAGTATAATAGGCAAGGGAGAGAATGAATGATGGTCCCAGTATAAAAATGGGTAAAGATTAACAGACAATTCTCTAAAGAAATTCAAATGGCTTATAAACACATGAAAAATGTTCAAACCACATTAGTAAACTAAAAGTTTTCAAGTTTCTTTTTCTCCTATTAAGCTATTTTAAAAAGTACAGTTAAAGAGATGCTCAATTTAAAAGATTGTGTGTTAACAGAGGGAGCATAATTGGAAATAAACTGTCAGGAAAAAATTCTAACTTATTTAAAGATAATAGACGACTTGGATATAATAGCATACTGATACTATTTGTGGCAAAAACAAAACACTTGGCTAAGATCATCTATTTAGTATTCTTAAGTCCTAAAAAAGCAATATATATTTAGGTCTGTTCAATAAGTACATATTGTAAGTTCTACTGTAAACATATTTTAAGGAAATCAATAATTCAAAAGATGTTAGTTTATACTGATAACGGACTAAAAAAGTTTCTTCTCTAATAAAATCTTGCAAAAATTAAAACAAAACAAAAAAGTACAGTTAATATGCAGGGTTTACCAAGTGTGGTAAATTAAAACCGTTTATACTGCTGTTAAGTCCAAGTTAGTACACTTTCTGGATACTCAGCAATATGTATCAAAAAGGTAAAAAAAAAAAAAAAATCCTATTTTTTCATCCAGTAATTCTACCCACAGAAACTCATCTTAGAGGAAAAAAGTTTGTATTTACACTGTATCAGTCCTAAGGTTGTTGCTCTCTCACATCTTCACACCTCTGAAATCTGAGTATATCCTACAATTCATCGTGTGTGATAGCTTAGTTCTAGCCTCTTTTCTTGGTGATACATAAAACCATGGTACAGTCAACAGTATTTAGGGTCCATGAAATATGCTATGTACAAGGAGTCATGCAAGTATGAGAACACGGCTAATACCCCGTGCACCTGTCATGATGAACACAGGGTGGGGGGAAAAAAAAACCTACCTAGAAAAATGCATTAATTTATACCATGACATATCATTTAGTCCATTTCATGATTTTGAAGCACAATTATTGTTCACACAAAACAGGTGAGGTCTGATGAAAATAGAAAGAAGTTTGTTCCACATTTTTCACACTTACAAGATTCTCCCCCTTGTCATCAAAATTTGGTTGTGATAACTGCAACTGCACAGGAACTGGTGATTGCTCAAGTAGCAGGGGACTGATACTACTTAAATCCTTTTTGCAGACAGGTGTTCCTCCTTTACGCAATGGAGTATTTGCTGGCAAAGACTCATCAAACACCTCAGGGCTTAGATCCTCTCCAAAAGTAACTCTCTTCCTCTTCCTGATATTTAGAAAAGCTGGCACGTTACAATTTTCTTGACCTTCTATAGATAATAAATGGATAGATAAAAATAATTAGGCTATTTCTTATCTAAAAATGCATATCCTAAACTCTTTTAACATGATTAGATTTAGCTCTTATTTGTATAATAGAAAATACAGTTTGTAGAAAAAAGAAATTCAAAATGGAAAAGGTAGGCAGTAGTCCTAAAATATGGTTAATAGATTTTAAAGTAAATTTTGCATAAATGTCTTAGAAGTTTACAAAATTGGAATATCAATTTCCTTTACAAGTATTGCCATTAAGCATAAATGGGCAGATGAAATGGACAGACCAATTGGGAGGCTCTCCAAAGAGATTCCAGCCAACTGTTCTTCATTCCCATGTAATGTGAGAAGCATCAGGGCATTTAGCAGATCATTGAAAATACCACATACTAGATCAGATATTTCACAAGAAAATGATATCCTCAGGCTTCAAAATAAATGTGAATTTTTTACCTGCTTTTTGTTCTTTGCAACAGTTTGCAAGATTTGAGATTAAGCTTGGATGAGTCCCATCATCACAGAGATTGTCACAGTGTTCCTAAACAAAATAAACATCAGTGAATAATCTTACACATATAAATGCATATCCACAATCATTAAGAAGGGCCACTCTGAACTCCTGTCTTCCAAGGATAGATACTATATAGCGTTGCAGATTACCTTTACTTTCATAATTGTTCTGGCTTAATGACATGAGCCACAAAGAAAAACTGGATGCCCTAAACATTACTTTAGTAAATAATATTTTAAGCCAAGATTAAAGAACAGAAATCCGTAATATGGGCTAAACTCATTCCATCATTTCTAATCTGGCAAATGAAGATAAGGAAAATGTGAGTGGCTAGAGTTATACCACAGATGGTGTCAGATAAGGCTGACTATCTACAGGTATAAGAATTGCACGAAAATAAAAAGGTAAATGGCATGATGGGGTGTTCTGTCTTTTAAATATGGGAATCACACCTTTTCTAAGTGTGTAAACCTCCTGTCCACATTACTGTATTCTTGAGTTAGGAACAAGGAAAGAAGGTAGTGTCTGTCCCTCTCTACTTCCCCAAAAGCTTAGAGTTGGCAAGCTGGGGAGGAGGGACAGTGCAAGTCCTGAAACACCAGACAGGGCCCCACTCCACACAGGGCCACTGGAGTGACGCAGGCAGGAGCCAGGGCTGTGGGCTCCATGAGTCACCTCCAAATCATCGCCTGCTTCCTAAACCCCGGACCAGCCCCTGCTCTCTACAGCTATTCATTTTCGCCAGTGCACCCAATTCCAGGAGCAGCAGCATCTCTCAACAACTGTCCTGCCCCAAACAAACCTCCTTGAGCAACTCTCAAGTCCATTTTATCTTCCTGACCAGGAAAATGCCCATATCAATATTTGTGAAATAAGTGAATGTAGAAAACAAAATTCTTGAGAACTTTTAGGCTATCTTTAATTAAAACCATGAAAATTTAGCAACAACTCAAACTGTATACACCTACAAACTTTGGAGAGCTCAGTAAAAAGATCGTTGATTATAAAAATCTTTGTATAATTTTAGTGGTAGGACTTGATGTTTGCTATGTGATGCTGTTAATCAGTAAGGGTTATATGGATCATGGAGAGACGTGAAGTCTGTTTGAGAAGATAAAACGAATACAAGATATGAATAAGCAGTGCTGCATAGAGACCCACATCAGCTCTTTAACCAGAAAAACTGTTAAACATTTAAAATAACCAATGACCATAACTATTCATGTCGATAGAAGGCGGTCTGGTTCATTTTGGCTTTAGAAACAGATGTCTAGGCATGGTTATATATTTAAATGCCTATGGATTGAAAAAAAATTACTTCTCATTTGCCAGGCCCTGGTGCTAATTTCATATTATTATCCCAGTTAATGCTCAAATCACCCTGTAAGGTAGTCACTAATATTGTCCTTTCAGAGATAAGGAAACCAGGGTACAAAAAGGGTACATAATTGGCCCAGCTCTTAAACTTCAGAGGATCTGAAACCAGGCACTTGGAACTCCACAGCCCAACCTCTCAACCTCTCAGAGCACTTATAGCTGCCATGAATTTCAGTATCAGATTTATCTGGGTTCATTTAACAACCTCAAGCCTAAGTTTACTTAAAATGGGGCTAATATTCTCCTTGGAGTATTAGTGCTGCATATACATGATCTATGCCAGAACTGTCCATAGAAAGTACTCAATAAGGGCTGCATGGGTGGCTCAGTCCGTTAAGCATCCAACGCAGGTCATGATCTCAGGGTCATGAGATGGAGCCCCGTGCCAGGCTCTGTGCTGAGTGTGGAGCCTGCTTAAGATTCTCTGTCCTCGTCTCCCTCTACCCCTCCCTGCCACAACTCGTGTGCTCGCACACTCATAAAAAAATAAAAAATAAAAAAAAAAATACTCAATAAGTGCCAGCTAGTTCCCATCAACCTACCCTTAGCTCATACAAGCTGAGTTTAGAGAAACATACATGCCTGTGAAAAAGCTATCTCTGAGACCAAATATTTTAGGTGGAAATAATTAACACACTTTAATAACTATGAAACTCTTCTAATATAGTCTACATATATTAAATTCTACAAGTTATATTCCATACTGAGTTTAGAAAGAAAGGAAGGAAAGAAGGAAGGAACTCTGCACGGTGCTCTAAGTAACAAAAGGAGGGGTAAACATTTAGGGCAAGAGATCTCCTTTGAAACCAGTAGGACATACAACAATTCACAAGAATTGCTTTAAGCCAAAATGGTATTCAATTTGCTTTAGGAAAAGTAGCTCTACACTTACCTGCAGGCCTTCTGGAAACAGCTTAACAGAGGGCTTCTTTAGCACAGAACGAAGTACAAAGGTCTCAGAGGATGGAACGTCCCTCTTACACTGTGTAGTGACTGGGGACCTGACTTGGGGGGTGGTGTCTGTGCTTACTTCTGTAAAGTTGTCAAGTGGAACAGCATCCCAAGCCCTTTTGCCCTCTACACACTCAGCAACCTTGACTCCTTCAAAGGAAACATGTAAACAAGAGAGAGACATCTGAATCAGGTTGTCCCACACCAAAAATATTATGTATTTGCAAAGAGAATAACACACTGTAAGTTCTACCCTCATATATCCAGCTTAGGGAATGACATCTGGAATTTCATTTGGATATATAAAGAAGAGAAGTGGTGCTGGCCGTAGCTTTCAGTTCAAATCTAACTACTGAGGGTAAAGGTAAGCAAGGAGTTTTGGCTCCCATGAATCTAAGGAAGTGCCCAGGCCTCCTGTACTTGAGACCCCTGTGCCTGGCACCAGAAAACCTACCTGAGGTAAGCAATAAAGAAGGACCAATTTCACTGCTGGGGTCAGAGGCATTTCACACCCAAGGGTGGTGGGAGGGGGAAGAGGGGGGGTGAGGAGAAAGGATTAAATCAAAATTGTATATGCTGTGTGTGCTCTCAAACAAGGCAAGGCTTCCTCCTGCATATTTTTTCTCACAAGAGAGAACTTCCTTATGACCGACATTTAACAAATATATATTGGGCACTTATAATGTGACAGGCACTCTTTTCTAGGTGCTAGAGAGACAACGATGAATAAAACACAAAAATCTCCAGTATTTTGGGAGACAGACAATATAAAACACCTGGGGGTGGGGAAGGAGAGAGGGAGCTATGGCTGTTGAAGGGGAGCATAGTGTGAGGGACCCCTGTACTGGAACTGTTCTCAATCTTGTCTGCAGTGTGGTCACATGAGTCTACACATGATAAAATTACATGGAACTAAATATACACACAAATGAATGGACGTAAAATGGGTGAAATTTTGAAAAAAAGTCAGTGGACTGTATCAGTGTCAATTTCCTGCTTGTGACACTGTATGACCGCTACCCAAGATGTTACCCCATAGGGAATCTGGCAGGAGGGGACACTGAATCCCTTTAGATATGATTTTTGTACAACTGCATGTGACTCTACAGTCACCTCAAAATAAAAAGTAAAAGAAATGTACAGGTAATAAGTAATATGTGCCTTTAAAGGAAATAATGTCGAAATTAAGGGGATATGGCGGGATAAAGTGGGAGGGGGCAGTTGCTGTTTTGAGGTGTTCAGGGATCAAGCAGGCATCTGAAGTGAGGAAGTGAGCCATGCATATATCTAGGGAAGAACCTTACATGCATGAAGCCAAGTGCAGAGATCTGAGATGGTAATGTACCAGACACCTAGAGGTAGAACAAGGTCAGTGTGGCTGGAACAGCGTGAGCAAGAAGAAGAGAGCTAAGAAGCTCCAAGAGACGGCTAAGGACTAGGTCAGGTGTGGACTGGGTACTATTCTAAGTACAGTGGGAGGTCAATGAAAGATTTTGAGAAGGGGAATGACAGTGTAGCTAGCATTTTACACTTGATCTTAGCCAACAGGCCGAGAAGCGATGTGTAGCTAGCATTTTAAAAGGAGCACCCTGGACACCATATTGAAGACTCTGAAGAGGGGGGTCAGCCAGGATTGAAGCAGGGAAAGCACATAAGAGGAAACACAAAGCAACCCAGGCAAGAGAAGGTGCGAGCCTGGGCCACAGTGATAATAGTTAGGGGGTGGGGAGTGGTTAGACATTTGATATAGCGTCAAGATAAAACCAACAGCATTTGTTAATGGGACTGAAGTTTAACTTTATTTACTTGAGAGAGAGAGAGAAACTCAAGCAGACTCCCTGCTGAGTGTGGAGCCCAACACGGGCTCAGTCCCAGGACTGTGAGATCACGACCTGAGCCGAAATCAAGAGCCAGACATTTAACCGACTGAGACACCCGTCTGCCCCTGCAAGTTTAAGCTTTGAAAGGGGGGGTAGTAAAGGTTACTCCAACGTTTTTGATGCAAGCAATTGGGTGAATTGAGATGAAAGACCAAAAAAAAAAAACAGAGATGAGCAGACTGGGGAAGGAAAAATAGTCGAGACCTTTTTGAGTATGTTAAGTCTGAGATGTTTATTAGACATTCCTGTGCAGACCAAAAAAGGCAGTTGGGCACTTAAGAGTTCAGGAAAGAGGCCAAGGACAGGTATTTAAATTTTGAAGTCAACAGCATGCAGACAGCATTGAATGCTGTGGGAATGCCCACGATCACCTAGGGAGTGAGTGCAGAGAGAAAAAGTCCAAGCACCAAACCCAGGGCATTCAAATGTTTAACGGTTAGGGGCGCCTGGGTGGCTCAGTCGTTAAGCGTCTGCCTCCGGCTCAGGTCATGATCCCAGCATCCTGGGATCGAGCCCCGCATCAGGCTCCCTGCTCAGCGGGAAGCCTGCTTCTCCCTCTCCACTCCCCCTGCTTGTGTTCCCTCTCTCGCTGTGTCTCTCTCTGCCAAATAAATAAAATCTTTAAAAAAAAAAAAAAATGTTTAACCGTTAAAGGATGGAACAGAAGGAATAAGAAAAAACAGACAAATAAGGAATGGTGAATTAAACAGGGGAAAACAAGAGAGAATGGTGTCCTGATGCCCAGTGAAGAAATGGTTTCTCCCAGAAGGGCACTGGCAGCTCTGCCTGCCACGCTGGGACCCTGAGGAGAGGGTCTGTTGGAGTGACTAATAGGATAGCAATGAAGAGGTGACCAAGGCCCGTTTGGAGCTGCAGCAAGCGAGAATGGGAGGCGAGGAGACCAAGTGCGACCTGTGCTTAAAGGGAGCTTTGCCATAGAGGAAAGCAGGGAAATGGGGTTTTGGCTGGAAGGAAATCCTGGGACAAGGGCCAGTTTAAGACTGCAGATAATACCGCACACTGTATGTTAATGGGAGAAATGAACAACTCAGAAAAGAGGGGACACCTTAGGCAGAAGGTCCTCGAAGAGGGAAGGGACCACCCTGAAGGGGTTGGCCTTGGATCAGAGGACAGAGGATCTACTGTAACAGGAGGAAAGGGGGAAGGGGCGCTCTTGTTCGGAGCGGCATGCGCGTGTGGTGGTGAGTGGCCCAGGCCATTTGCTTCAGACATCTTTCGTTCTCTCGGTGACAGCAGCAGCCAGGGACGACAAAGGGGCACCAGGGAACTTTATCTCAGTCATTCCTGACTAGGGCTGCCAGATTTAGCAAATACAAATCCATGAGGCCCAGGTCAATTTTGAATTATATCTAATTATTTATGTGTATGTATGTTGATATAAAAGAAAAACACTGCATGAAACATACTTATACTATGTAAAGCAAAAACACTGCAGGATTTAAAATGAATATAAAAGTAATATAGAGGATATCTATAGAGTAAAAGACCATAAAAGACATAGGTGGGCGGACAGGAAATAGAAACTTTACAAACTGTCTAGATCTATTTCCCCTAACACCAACTCTTTTTGGGTTCCAGGACCCAATTCCAACTTGGGGGAAGGGATTCTCCTACACAGTGCCACCAGGCAATTCTCAGACACCAGCAGGGTATCCAAGAATTCAACCCAAGTCTGACCCTACCGAGAGATAGCATCAGGTTCCACAGGTTAAGGGCTCAGTCCTACAAGAACGTCCCCCACCCCCCATTTAAGATGCCAGTCCCAAGTCCTAGGCTGTCACCTGTGCCTCTGACCGACGTGTCACAGACTGGAGGTTCCAACAACCTCCTCCTTGGACTTCAGATACCAGTCACAAGTCCAGATTGCTACCTAAACTTCTGACTGAGTGACTATCAATCAAGAGGTTCTCTTAGACAATGGACTCTGAAAAACAAACTGAGGGTTCTAGAAGGGAGGGGGGTGGGGGGCTGGGTTAGCCTGGTGATGGGTATTAAAGAGGGCACGTTCTGCATGGAGCACTGGGTGTTATGCACAAACAATGAATCATGGAACACTACATCCAAAACTAATGATGTAATGTATGGTGATTAACATAATAAAAAAATTAAAAAAAACTAATGATGTGATGTATGGTAATTAACTTAACATAATAATAATAAATAAAAAAGAGGTTCTTTTAGTGTTTTTTAATTTGCCAGAGCAGCTCACAGAACTCAAGGAAACACTGTGTTTACCAGTTTATTAAAGGAAATGAGAAAGGATACGAATCAACAGCCAGAGGATGAGAACAAAGGAGAGGTCTGGGGAAGAGGTACAGAGCTTTCATGACCTCTCTAGAAGTAACACCCTCCCCACATTTCCATGTGTTCACCAACCAGGACGCTCTCTGAACCCTGTGTTTCTGAATTTTTATAGGGGCTTCATTCCGTGGCCATGACCGATAACATCATTGGCTGATTCAATCTCTAGCCCCAGTACCCTCCTCAGAAGTCAGGGGTGGGACTTAAAGTTCCACCCTCCAATCACATGGTTTGGTCCTCCTGGCAACCAGCGCCCCGCCCCCCCGGGTGGGGTCCAAAAGTCACCTTCATTAGTAGTAGTAAGACACCCATGTCACCTTTATAGCTGTAAAGTATTTTCAGGAACTGTGGATGAAGACTAGATCTATTGGAAAACTGTGTATTTGGTCATCTGAATATTATTAATATTTATTCATTCACTATTCATTTAGATAACCAATATATACTTTTTTATAAATCATTATATCACACTTTTACATAAAGTTGTACAGCATCAACTCTAAGTGGACTGAAAGGTTAAGGATGTATCTTGCAATCCCTAGGGTAACCTTAACAAAAAAGACGCAATGAGGTATAGGTTAAAAGGTAATGTGTAGGGGCGTCTGGTTGGCTCAGTCAGTAGAGCACGCAACTTTTGATCTCGGGGACATGAGGTCGAGCCCCATGTGAGGATTAGAGCTTACTTTAAAAAATTTTAAACAAATATTAAAAAATAAATAAATGGTAATGGATAAGTGGATTTCCAAAAAGAATATTTCAAATAAACCCCAAAAAAGACAGGAGAAGGGAAACAGAGGAACAGAAAACACATGAAAAAATGGTAGATTTTTTTTTTTTTAAAGATTTTATTTATTTGACACAGAGAGAAAGAGAGAGAGGGAACACAAGCAGGGGGAGCGGGAGAGGGAGAAGCAGGCTTCCCATGGAGTAGGGAGCCCGACACAGGGCTCGATCCCAGGACCCGAAGGCAGACACTTAACGACTGAGCCACCGAGGCGCCCCAAAAATGGTAGATTTATAAATCAAACCATATCAATAATGACTTGAAAGGTTAATGGGCCAAATACCCCTATGGAAAGGCAGAGGCTCTCAGAATGGACAAAATAGCAAGACCTAACTATATGTCTCTAAGTTTTACTTTAAAGATAAAGACACAGGTAGGTCGATAGTAAACCTAATACCTTACTGGTGACTTTCACTCAGGGAAAGTTTTGAATGTGGGTCCCTTTCCACACTTAAAAACAAAAACAAAACAACAACAAAAACAACACACATGTAGTGTTTTCTCTTACAAAATACATGTTACATGTTCATCCTGTTTTTTTTATAACAGATTTTGTCAACTTGGAAATATTTCACTCACTCTTATCAGTGGCAGTTTAAGAAAAAAAAAAAGTCATCTCTCCTATAACAAGAATTCTGAAACATTTCTACTAGACTGAGGGCTCCTAAAATGTAGGGCACTGCTTCAGTTTTCCCAAAGTTTAGCACATAGGTAAACCAACCATAAATGTCTGTTGAACATATGTTTCAACAGGTAAACCGTCATGGGTACTAAGGAAAGATTAAATACTTACCACTTGAAGCCTCTGTGAGCTCAGAAAGTGAAACAGACTCTCCAACTAAATATCCAAACTGTGTTAAGCCAGATTCAAAAGATTTCTTGGGGGGGATAAAATTAAAGAAATATTAAGTCTTATTACTTACAGGAGTACTGAGATCTTTGTAAAGATTTAAGCATTACAGATTATCTAGGAATCTGATGTTAAACCAATCATTCATTTCCTACCATTAAGAAAGCATACAAGAATTGAACTAAAAACAGAGTACTCACTGTAACTGTAGCCTAAACATCCTACTAAACAAATTTCAGCTCCCTAGGAAAAGTTTATAGGGCACGTTTTTGTTGCCTTACTGTTTGAAGTCTAGAAAACTATACTGATTAATTTTAAAGGGAGAAATTCTCAAAAATAACGAAAAATGGGGGTGTCTGGGTGGCACAGTGGGTTAAGCATCCAACTCTTGGTTTTGGCTCAGGTCATGATCTCAGAGTTGTGAGATCGATCCCATGCCGGGCTCCATGCTCAGTGTGGAGTCTGCTTGAGATTCTCTCTCCCTCTGCTTCTACCCCTCCCACTCGTGCTCTCTCCCACACCCTCTAAAATAAATAAATAAATCTTAAAAAAAATAACAAAAAATGTTATGTAATTATTAAAAAAGGTATCAATAGCTAGGATAGGAAAATCATTAATGGCTAGGATAGAAAACACATTCTTATTAATGTGGACACCATTTCTAAATCATGGTGTATGTCCAAACAAAGTTCTGATGAGAAACTATTGGTTTTGCCGGATGACGATTTCATATCAACTAGAAAAAAGCAGAGGGAGCAGAGATTATAAGTGACTCTAAGCTACAAACAAAACTTATTGGACCCCGAAGAATCTTACTACCAAACATTTATTATGCCAGTCCAAATAAGATCAATAGGATATGTACTAAATCTTTGTGACAGAGAAGTTATAGAAAAAAAGTTTCAGATCTAATGGTGTCAGGGGTCTCCTCTCACTAAAGACATGGGAACCAGCTGTGTCACACTAGAACTAAAGCAAGGAAAGCCAGTGATGAGAGAACCAGCTTCCTGTTTACATGGGAGTGAAGGTCAAGGATCCTCAATAGTAGTATTTAATTCACGTTGCTTATGATCTTTTGATAATCTTGACAGGCTTTAGGTAGTTATAAACAACAAAAATCCCTACACCTACTTGAAAGAAGTGAGCAGAGCAAAGAAGAAACTGCTAAATAGCACCAGTTTTAAACCAGTTAGGGGCAGAAAGGCCAAAATGCAAGACCCCCCAGACCTAAGCTGCACAGCCCATACTGAATCTTCAAATGATTTGCCAGTTGTGTAAATAATAAGCTCCTGCATCTGCCTCCTCCAGTGGACTAAAAGCTGCTCAAGGGCAGGACTATGATTCCCCCACGGTTGTACCATCAGTATCTAGAGCAATACCTCGCAAGCAGAAGACCAGAGGGCTTAATATTTTCATTAAGTGTTTTTCGTAACCAAAAGCAACATACTAATCAAAACTGTCTAACCAATAAGCTAACCACCAGTAAAAAAAAACTTAACGAGTAGGAGATACATACACACACAGCATACTTCAAAACTCAGCTACAATATAAAAATACAAGGTACCATCGCTGAAAAAGGGTTCTGACAGTCTTAAAACGGTCTAGCCAGAAAACCAAAGCTTCATTTTCCTAGGATTCTGGTCAGTGAATTACCTCAGAAAAACCTGCAGGAGCAGTTTCAACAGCACACATTTTGCCTGTATTAGGAGAAGTGACACCACTGAATATCTGGAGATGAACCGCATCGGTTAGATTTTCATCAAAGTTGCTCTGATAGGATATCCTTCGACGTTTGGATGATAAGTTCGCAGGGAACTCAGACTCTTGACATTCACCAAGACTTTCTTTTTTGGCTATATGTATAAACATAACACAGGCAAAAATATTTTCTTTTACTATATCACTTTTAAATTTTGCACATAATAATTTCAGTAAAATGTAATGCTTGAATCTAAATACTTTATCAATTAAAAGTACATTTTTCTATTCAGAAGAAATCTAACTGAAAGGTAAGAGAACATCACTACTAAAAGGGTAACAAACATTATTAAAAATTTTTTCTAGACTTTAAAAATGTACAAAGATATGCTAATATGCATTTCCATTTCTGATCTATCATCTCACCCTATTTTAAAATGTACAATGAAACCTTTCCTGTTGAACTTTTTTTTTTTTTAAGATTTATTTATTTGAGAGAAAGAGCTCATGTGAGCAGGTGGAGTGGCAGAGGGAAAGGGAGAAGCAGGTTCCCCGCTCAGCAGGGAGCCCGATGTGGGGCTTGATCGCAGGATGCTGGGATCATGAGCTGAAACCGAAGGCAGATGCTTAACTGACTGAGTCACCCAGGGGCCCCTCTTTTGAACATTTTAAAGGATGTGGTTATGTTCTAATACTGGTTCTGCTTTGACTGTGTATGATTTTATGAAACAAACAGCCAAAATGTGCCTCAGTTCTTCCCAGCTACAAAAAGTCAATTTAATCGTCTGCAGAACTAGAGCAATCGTGTCAGTAAAATATTTTAAAATGCAGGTCAGAAGTGAAAAATAGGTAAGTTACAAACTACAAACACAAACGAGTACGTCGGAGTGGGTCACACACTGGAGAGGTAGATGAACTGCACTTGAGTAACAGTGCACTGCACGTGGAGGTGTTGAAATGTACTTGAAGATGGTTCAAGAAACCAAAACAAAATTATTTGGAACCTCAGGGTGCAAAGCACCAGAGGAATGGTTATGATGATTATGGTAATGCCAAGATTTTGTCTAATTCTGGTGTTTCAAATGCCTTGTGATTGGAAAATCAGAAGGACAGGAAAAAGTAACCAAATGAATTACAATCGAAGTTATGGTAAAGAAGAGGACAGGCTATTAAGATGTCAGATTAGATATATCTTTTTATAACATCAGGGTTGGGTATTTGGTATTCATAGAAATGCTTGCCAAGCTTAATAAGCAACCTCTAAAAATCAAGGCTTAAAGGCTCAAATTTGTCACATGCCCTTATTCTAACAATGAAACAAACCAACCGGCTCTGACAAGTTAACACTTAAAACTCAATTGTGGCCATGTGGAACTGTAGCTCAGGAATGCCTGAAAAATCAGGTTTTTTCAAGACAAACCAGAAATCCAAATTTTTGTGTGAAATTTCCCAAATTTTAAATGTTAGGCTCCATTTAAAAATACAGCTCTGCTCAGAAAAGACTGCCTTCACACTGTGGAACTAAATCTTTTTCATACCTCACAGGCTTGTCTGAATAAATACGGAAGTCCAAACGGACTAAATTCTTTCTACTCACTCGAGCCTGTTGTCTTGAACTCTCCTTCTGCCTCTGAGAATCCAGGACGGTCAATCATGTTTTCATTCTCCTTTATGCAGTGAAAAGCAGACTGGAAGGCAGACATTCGCTCCCTTAAAGAATTAACATTTCGATACAGTACAGGACTGCCCTGTTAAAATACAGAGACATGGAGGGTATTATAAATGAAATCAAGCACAGTGTCTCTATTCTAGGCCTATAACCACTGCATCCAGGACTAAATACATAAAGGCTATTTGAAGATCAGAGGTAATAAATGAGTGTTGCAGAGCCTCTTCTCCCTTGAATCGCGTATTTTCAGTTTGAGTGTTTCGGGTGCTGCCATCATCCTAGTTTCTCCTCTGCTCCTCCCTCGGTCTTTAACCCGAGCACAGAGAACAGCTGTGTGGTATGTCTAGAAGTGTAGCTACAGCCTGGCTCAATACTGTTATTAGCCATGCACATGACAGAAGTCTGGAGTAGGTGGGGAAGAGCTTTAAAAAAGCACCCGTGCAAAACACATCCACAATTATTTGGGAGCTAAACAACTCTTTAAAAGGATTCTTTCTGGGGAGCTTAAGGCCTCTCTTTTAGAGTCCCTAACTTAGAGTCCATAACCTGAGACAGCCTCAGCAAATCAAACTGGAAAGGAAAAGAAGTTGAGCACAAAAATGTTCAGTCCAAGCTAGTCTGACTACCTATTTCCATCCATACACACCCTCTCCCCAAGAGGCCAGGACAAGACACAGATGTTCCGTAGCAGCTCAGATACCCACCTTCACACTTACCCTCTCCCCAGCTAAATTTTCCTGATTTCATGGGACCTTACTTCCTTAGCGCTAAACGCTGGCCATCCGCGAAAACCACAAAGCCAAACAGTTAGATGGTTTAAGCACAAGAGCGCTCTGGAAACTCTGCTAACAGGGTTTTAGCCAAGAAGTCATCAAATGAAATAGACACTGGCAGGGACCCAAGTGCCAGATACATGCAAATAACATACAATTCAAGAGTTCTGTTACCTATAAATCATTAAGTTCTCTACCCAGGTTTTTTTCCCCCCTTTACTACTTAGACTAACATATTTCCACTAATTTGGAGCTTGTAACAATTGAAAAATTACACCAACAGACAAAAGTAAAAAATTACCTCCCTTTATGATAGCATATGGAGGAAAATCAGTTAAAAGCTTGAAGCCATGTTTGATGCTGGATCTACTCACACACTTGATTCTATTCCCAGTTAAACACATTCACAAAGCAAACTGTTACATAATAGAATATTTTAAATCCAAATATGGTTGATGATGTAAACCTTTATGACATAACACATAACATTCATAAAAAGCTGGTGGCCAACTCTTCTCTAGAAGATATGGAGAAAAGAAACGGATTATCCCAAACTCATACAATTTACCTCCAATGGGCTTTTTTTTTGTACTTCTATGTAAACACGGTAGGGGTGGGTTTAATGTCCTAGAAATTTAAAGCACTCTGAAATGCTGCCTAAAACAAATGAAAGGTCCCTAGTTTGAATCATTTTGCTCTATTTCCTGATGGAGAACGGGAATATACAAGGGAAACAAAACATTCAAAATGCACTGCTTTCTTCTTTTGTCTTATGAACCTTGTCAGTCAACAACATTCCTTCCACATACCAGATAGTGTTCCAAGGGCTCAGGACACGGGGGGCCTGGCGGGGTGTTACATTCTGGACTGAAATTCTGAAAACATTAATATAGTTTCAGGTACAAGAAGTGCTAGTGAGAAGATGAAAAAGAAACATGATGAAGTGCTGCTTTGACTTAAGTCAGAAGAGCATCCTATCTAAAGCAATAGCTGAGCTGAAACCAAAACAAAGAGAAACTGGGGGTGGAGCAAAGATGTAGGAGGAGAAAGGCATTCTGCAATAACAAAAGCTTAAGATGGAAACAGGATACAGCAGGAAAAAAAGCCACCATGCCCAGGAAACGGAAGGAGATGGGGATATGAGGCTAACAGCAGACAAGGCTCATATCAGGAAGGGTGATAAAGGCTTCAAAGAAGGGGTCTGGGTTTAATTCAAGGCATAACAGAAAGCCATTGGAAGGTTTTAAGCAGCAGAAGAAATCATCTGAGTTAGTCTATCTCTGACAGCTCTGCGGGATGCTGGGTGGATTAGGGAAGGAGGGAAGTGAGGAAAACGGTCAGGACGTAGCAGTTGGTAATCTAGGCAGGATCACATTAGGGTTATAGCAGTGGAGCTGTGGGGCATGAGGACTTACAGAAAGGTTTCTGAAAGGTAGTGATGGGCTGGATGCGGAAAAAAGGAACCAGGAAGATTGATACGTAGTTGTCCTGAACAACTGGATGATGGTGGCACGTACTATGACTGGGAAGTTAGGCTAGAGGATCTGGTGGGGAGAAGAAATGTACAGTTTGGTTGGGGCCAAATGCTTATTAAAACACCCAGGTGAAGATGTTGAATAGGCAACTGAATATCTCACAAAGTCTGGAGTTCTAGGAAGCTCTGGGCCAAAGTTAGACATTTTGGAGTCAGTCTACAGGGGATGCTGGAAGCCATGGGAAGGGATTAGGTTGCAAGGAAAGCAAACAAAAGGGGGCAGAGGGGAGCCATGGGGCCCTCAAGCATTTCTGAGGAAAAACTAGAAGAAGGGATAGAATCAGCACATGAAACACAGAGGGAATGACCAACAACACAGAAGAAAAATTAGGTCAGAACGGAATCCCAGAAACCAAGTGCAGAAAGTGTTTCAAGGAGGGAGTGGTCGAACATATCAAAAGCTGACACCTATCAGAATGGCTATTATTAAAAAAAATAATAAGCCATAAGTGTTGGCAAGGATATGAAGGGACCCCTCATGCACTGTTGGTGGGAATGTGACTTGATGCAGCCACTATGGAAAATAGTATGGAGGTCCCTCAAAAAATTAAAAGTAAGATGACCATAAGATCCAGTAATTCTACTTCTGAGTATTTATCCAATGAAAATGAAAACACTAACTTGAAAGGATATATGTACCCCCATGTTCACTGCATCATTATTTGCAATAGCCAAGATATGAAAACAACCTAAATGCCCATCAATGAATGGATGGGTAAAGACGATATGGTATATATACACAACAGAATATTTTTAGGCCAGAAAAAAAGAAGGAAATCTTGCCATTTGTGACAACACGGATGGACCGACCCTGAGGGCATTATGCTAGGAGAAATAAGTCAGGGAAAGACAAATACTGTAATGTTGCACTTACATGCGGAATCTCAAAGTTTAAAAAGAAAGAAAGAAAGAAAGAAAGTGCTCATAGATACAGAGGAGAGGCTGGTGTTGTCAGAGGCAGGAGTAGGCAAAATGGATAAAGGGAATCAAAGGTACAAACTTCCAATTATAAAATAAGTCATAGAGATGTAATGTAGAACATGGTGACTAGAATTAATACTATATTCTATATTTGGAAGTTGCTAAGAAGAGATCTTAGAAGTTCTTATCACACACACCTAAAAATTTGTAACTGTATGGTGGATATTAACCAGACTTATGGTGGTGATCAATTTGGAACACAGTTGACCCTTGAACATGGGTTTGAACTGAAAGTATCCACTTTATATGTGGATTTTTTTTCAATAAATACAATTCTGTTACTGTATTTTCTTTTTTTTTTTTAAAGACTTTATTTATTTGAGAGAGAGAATGAGATAAAACATGAGAGGGGGTAGGGTCAGAGGGAGAAGCAGACTCCCTGCTCAGCAGGGAGCCCGATGTGGGACTTGATCCCGGGACTCCAGGATCATGACTTGAGCCGAAGACAGTGGCTTAACCAACTGAGCCACCCAGGCGCCCTCTTGTTTTTTTAATAACATTTTCCTTTCTCTAGCTTATTGTTACTTTACGGTACACGGTGCATGTAGCATACAAAATGTGTTAATTGATTGTGTTATCAGTAAGGCTTCTGGTCAACAGTAGGCTACAAGTAGTTAAGATTTTGACAGCGTGGGGGTTGGTGCCCCCACATTGTTCAAGGCTCAACTGTGTATAAAATCTTGAATCAGTACGTTGTACACCTGAAACTAATATAATGTATTTCAATTAGACTTCAATTAAAAAAAGGAATTACAAGGGAAAAAAAACAGAACAAGCATTTTATTAAGAGATATGAAAACAGCTATCAAAGCAACAGCTACAAAAGTTGAAAATGAGAGCCTCGGGAAAGGAAACACGGGAAAAAGGTAGCTGCACACCGTTGTTCTTATAAATAAATCCTCAAGTACTAACTGATTCCTTAAACAATGTGCATAGGTAATATTTTTATTTATATAAATTTTTAAAACTTTAAAAAACGTGTTTGTAAGAAAACTTCAGAGTGTTAGAACATAGATATAAACTGGGTAAGGGTGAGAGAGACATAAAGTGATCAACAGACAGTACAGGTGCGGTAAGATTAATAGTCTGGAGCTTCGATAAGACAAGAGAACTGTGAAGTAAACTGGAAAGATGAAATGTGGGTCAGAGTGAGGTGGGCCGAAAGAAGATCTCAAAGGTGATACATAGCAAGGAACCACATAAACAGATGCCTGAGGTAGAAAAGATTATAGGAGCTACAGAAGTCAAGGAGCTTGACTTCCGGGATGGTGGATGATCATCCATGTGCTTGTTGAAATAGTCAAGAATGAAAGCAAGAGTAGTGGAGAAAAGATGGAGAGCCGCTGCCCTTCAACGTTTCCTCTAAAATGTTCTCCAAAACAGGAGAAGGTCGGGGCACCTGGGTGGCTCAGTCAGTTAAGCATCTGCCTTCAACTCAGGTCATGATCCCAGCATCGTGGGATCGAACCCCAAGTCGGGCTCCCTGCTCAGTGGGGAGTCTGCTTCTCCCTCCCCCTGCTCTTGCGCTCTCACTCATTCTTTCTCTCAAATAAATAAATAAAATTAAAAAAAAATAGTTAATAAACAAAGCAAGAGAAGGTGGAGAAAATAAGAGATGAATTTTGTAAGCATAGAGGCCCTTATACTTTACAAAAAGAAAAAAACAAGTACTACTAGTATATTTGCACAACATTTCAGTAAACTAGAACGTGTAAACTAATATTATTTATGCAGTCAATAAATTTGTTGAGTAAGGGAAGAAGAGATAGGGTGAGAACTGAAAGAGTAGAGCCACCAAGGGTATTTACTATAGAGACAAATCTCAAAAGGTCAAAGGACAGCAATGATTGTCCATAAAAACTGCTCAAGTGGAAAGCCCTTACTTTTAACAGCGCTAGATACTAGAGTTATATATTCAAGGAATTCTTTTACTACATATAATCACATGATATAGGTGTGGGGTGTTTTCATATGTACATTTCTATATACATACACACACGTATATATTCATAGGCATACCCTTAAGGAAAAAAAAAACAGAAATACCAACAGCAGATATGGAATGTCAACAAACAAAAACGGACTTAGGTCAGAGAAAGCTGAAACTGACAGGGATTCTTTAGGGCATTCTGACAAAAGGAAACAAGCAGACCTGCAGCAGACCCCAGAAAGGCTCAGGTATTTAAAGCATCAGGTATTTCTGAAAACCAGGGTCAAGGACAGGACTCAGAACAGGAACACTGAAACTCTTATCAGTAGCACTTGAATCCACAGGTCTCTTCATAAAGAAGAAAGGACCTTTACATTCTGGAGGGAACACAGAGATTCAGGATTCCATGAGATTTAAGACTCCACAAACAGCTGAGGAGAGGAGAGTCTGCACTGAAAGCGGAGCCCATCCAAGTCTTCTCAGTGAACAGTTTGACTTCCATTTTGACACCTGACTTCCAGAGTCCCAGGGCTCAGGTTTATATCCCCAGGAATTCCTTTCAGAAAAAACAGATCTGCCGAAAAAAAGAGCTACAGAATTCTGATACTTGGGAATGAAAAAGTGGCCACGTCTACACAGAAATCCACCAGTTGATGAAACCAGACCATGCACATTGAGCTCTCAGTCAAGTTTTTAAAGTGACTCGCTTTTAAAAATGAACAGAGTGTCACAGATCACCAGACATCTGAATAAATATTTGAGCATGAGACAAAGCCTGAACTAATTAGGTAGCAAAATGGAACCTGAAGGCAAAGAGATCCTGCAGGGGGAGGAAGAAAACATCCATAAAAATATAATGTCCCCAAGGGCCCACAGTGTTAATACCAAGAACAGAGCTTCAAATGAAAAAGCAGGCCATGCAAAAGATAGGGAATCAAAATTATGTGTTGAATGAATGAATGAATGAATGAATGAATAGGATTCTTCAACTCCGTAAGCTAAAATAACAATGGAGCAATGCCTTCAAAATTTTGATGGAAAATATGTGCAACCTAGACTTCTATACTAAGACAAACCAAAATCTAAATGTGCTAGTGGAGTAAACGTCATCAGATATGCAGAGGCTCCAGAAAAATGAGATAGTAAAACAAGAAGAGAGAAAGATATGATGTCAAGGAAACAGAAAAATCCAAACAGAAGAAGAAAAGGAAATCACAGTGACAGCTGTCCAGGAGACCCAGATGGCAAGCAAGCCACAGAAGACAGAGAACACCAAGGAAAAAGAAAAGAACCCACAGACCCTCAGGGTTTGCAGATCTGCCAAAGTTTGGGGATGAAATTATGTGATAAAAGACTAAACCAAAAAATAATAAAAAGTACTTATTAACTAGAGGAAAAACAAAAGTTGTGTAAGAGAAGAAATGGGACCATAGCATACTACCTGGCAGTTTGTGAAAAATATCTACATGGTTAAATAACACACACGAAGTCCTAATTTAAACAAAAATTATAATTGTATTGGAAGGATGGGGACAGGGGATAGTGTTAGGACAGCTATGGCTAGGAGGCGTAAGAGCAAAATCCTCATTTTTCGCAGAAATAACTACAATAATAGTAAATCCAACGCATACCATGTTCCAGGCACGGTTCTAAGTACTTCATCTCCACTAATTTAATCATCCTCATTAAAAACCTTGCTATTATTATCACCCCCATTTTATATGTGAGAAAACTGAGACAAACTTGAAGTGCTTGGCTGGCTCAGTATATAAAGCACCCAACTCGTGATCTCTGGGTTTAAGTTCAAGCCCCATAATGGGTGTAAAGATTACATAAAAATAAAATCTTAAGAGACAGAAAGACAGACAGACAGAAAATTAAGTAACTTGCCAAAGGCACAATTAATTAATAATAAAGCGAAGAATCAAACCTTAGCAAATAGTTCCACAGTCCATGTGTGTACCTATCCTAACAGCAGTTCTCAGGAAGTCTTTAAACTCTTAAAATTATTGAGAACACCAAAGGCTCCTAGTTCGTGTGCATTATAGCTATCAAGAATGTTTTAACAGGCTTTTCAGAATTGTGGCTATTCTTGCTTTCATGGAACATAAAACTCAACAAAGATTTCCTAAAAGTTAGTTGCAATGTCAAATATGAAATCCTATCAATGAACTTCTTATACTCTGTTATGTTAAAATCTGTGAGTCTCTTGCATTTGAGGGTATATTTTGCATGCACTGGTCATTAGGAAAATATTGATTCACTTACTTCTGCAAATCTTCTAAATATTGATACCCTTTTATTATATAATATCAAAAAATCAAATTAATTAATATCTCCACTGATCTCATCAGAAAAGTCTAGCTAGTGGGAAGTTCTCAAGCTCACGGTGCTGCCTAGAAGTTTTCCAAAATTCTAATTTTCTCCTGAAAACTCAAGTTTTTTAATCAGTAAGAAATATTTCAGTTTCTCCTTGAAGGGGCAGGTTCACTGTTCCTTTTGAGAAAATGTTGTTCACATTCCCAAGTCTGACTAACCATGATGTCTGTCATTCTTCCAAGTAAAAATGATGCTCCATGAAAAAAAAGTGGCCAGAGTTCAGATCACAGATCAAAACAATTATGCACATGATTTTTTTCACAACATCCATCATACTTCTGTATGTACTTTGGAAGTGCCTGATGCATACTTCCCATTTCAGTCACACATAATACACAAGGGTGGAGAATTAATAAAATTTACAATTTTCACTGCATCATCAAGGATATTAAATGAACCTGGCATTATCATTTCCTGTGAAGGCTTAGCACTGTGGAAAATGACAGCTTGGTGCCATCAGTTTTACCCACCACTGCTTGAGCACTGTGAGTGCAAACATCAACATAGTGGAAAAAAGGCAAATACCTCAGTGCTATTACAAAAATCTGTTTTAACCTCATTGACCTCTTGAATGGGACTCAGGGATCCCCAGGGATGGGCAGATAATCTCTGAGAACCACCACACTACATAGCCTGTGCACAGTGTCTAAAACCGAAAAATAAAGTGGCTATGTAAGTACGTTTTAAAATAGGAAGGCCAGGGGGCGCCTGGTGGCTCAGTCGTTAAGCGTCTGCCTTCAGCTCAGGTCATGATCCCAGGGTCCCGGTATCAAGCCCCGCATGGGCTCCCTGCTCCGCGGGAAGCCTGCTTCGCCCTCTCCCACTCCCCCTGCTTGTGTTCTCTCTCACGCGGTCTCTGTCAAATAAATAAAATCTTAAAAAAAAAAAAATAGGAAGGCCAGGACCAAAAGAGACAATATAAATAGCTGTCCTTCAAGAAGAGGGAGCATTAACTGTCTTTCATTGTAACCCTTGTACACTATTTGACTTTTTAGGAACATGAATTATTCTGATAAACATCCGCAAAAATAGCTACATCCTTCCTCATCAGCAGACAAGTAATTTTTTCCTTTTTGCCAGGTTATCCCAAATATATTTTGTCCTGGGGAACTCTTACTCCTACATGTAGGAGTCAAAAAAAATTAGACACTTAAAGAAAAAATATTAAAAGAAAAAGGTTGAAAAACACTGCCTCACTTCATTGTAGAAAAAAACATTAACCAGCAAAAACCCCTGCAAAATAAAATAGCTCCTCTAGAAAACCATTTCTATCCAGGATTTCCCAATTCTTAACCTAGCCATGTTCAACATCACCATCAATGCAAACTGAACACTCTCTGTAAGACAGAGAAAACCTTATCTCCCCAGATCCAAAACAGATGAGATGCACAGGAAGGTAGAAACACAGTACGAAAGATTTGTAACAGAACAAAACATTCTCCCCAAAGAATTCATGACATGTTAGAAGAATATCATACCAGAAAAGGGGAATTCTGTGTCAAAGAAGATTTCTCTGCCTTCTTTAGACTCCGCTGCTGAGCAATGAAACGAATAAGATGGTTTGTTTCAGGGGAGCCCCTAGCGCCGATTGTAGAGCGTCGTCTGGATTTTTTAAGGTAGGATGAGGACTTTCCTGTAACGAAAACTCTTTTAAATTGGAATAAAGCAAGGCAATCATTGGTAATCATGTACTGAATTCCCTGTAATATACCAGCCTGAGAGAATGCATAAACACCTATTACAGAAATCTAAATAGAGTATTATAGGCAAAATTATTCACACATGGTCAGTTGGATAGGGATCTTTGTCTATTAATTTACTCCATGATTCTGAAAGTGTCTGGCATATAGAAAGCATTGATCAGAGTGAGTTATGGAATGAACACGTGAACACATTTTAATAGTTCCCATTTTTGTTTCATATTTCTTGCACACAGGGATGGGTAATTGCTTGCTTTGAACTAAGAACTTCTCTTCTTTCTGAATTAGTCCTCTTATCCCCAAGAACTGAAAGGAAAGCTCTCCACTTAGGCACATATACTCCCAGGCTCTCAATTGTTCAAGATCATTTTTTTCTCTGAGATACCAATCCACCTTCCGCACACTATGTTGCATATGCTGAAGAGCACAAAATAAATCTAGCTTTTTCTTTAAAGGTTTATGAATAATGTTCTTGAGAAGGGAACACAGAATGGCACACCACTGTGGTCTTGTCTATATCATGCATTATCCAGTCTAGTGCCCTCTGACTTTCCAGCCTTCTCTCACTCTCCATTTCTAAATGCTGTTCTCCAATCTAATCCCAGTTCCATGTTTATTTGCTCTCTTAGCTAAATCAGACTTCACAGGTGAATTTCATTTCTACTCCTTGAAGATTAGCCGGAGTCAATTTTGTTTGTGATTTTGAAAGAGGCATACCCCAATCTTTCTTAATTGCTCTTCGACTTTCTCTTATTTTTGCCATATGTGAGCATAAAATTTATTACTACTTAGAGTAAACATATCCTATATCTCATGAGTCAGGTCAAAAAGTGATTCACATACGTCTTCTTTTCCAATTTGGGCACAGAGCACACTGCTGAATGTTATCATGCTGGATGCCTTAGGAACCTGATATTCTGCTATGCTAGATGCATGGTACATATTCACAGAAATGTCCCTAATCGAACGTTTGCAGAGTCAAAGTAATGAGATAGAGCAGATGAACAAAACTGAGTTAAAGTTATTTTTAAACTTTAAAAGCACTGCAATAGAAGGACAATTTCTTTTACCTGAAGAGTTCTTTACAAAGCTTTCAGGTGTAATTCCCAATTGCTCTACTGTTACTGTGTTAAAATCCAAAGGTGACTTGAAAGTATCTGGTGTGCAACCATTGGGAGTCCCTTCAGGTGCATGCTTCTGAGGAGTTACAAGCCTCCCGTTTCCCGAAATGAAAGAGGTATTTTCTGAAATAGACAACATATTGTGAGGGCTAAACACCATTATGAAAACAAATACCTAAACCTTACATTTCACAAGGAGGCAACAGATCACTACATACCAGCATCAGGAATACCAGGCTCCTTGGTTTCAAGAGGCTCGCTGTCTTTTGAGTTGGTATCCATCTAAAAAAAAAAAAAAAAAGAAAGAAAACAAAGAAGAAAAAAAACCCCTCATTTCCAAGTTAACGATTAGATCAAGATTCTCATTCAAGACTGAATTCTAATACAACCTATACAGGCATGAAAATAGATGTCGAGAGTATTTGAGAGCTTTTAAAAAAGAGAGAAATGGAGGAAACTGCTGTTGAGGATGAAACAAAGCAGACTTCACACTAGAAGCCATGGCTTTTCAACCTGGGCGAACATCTGAATCATCTGGGTACCCTGTTATAGACACAGCTTTGCGGATTCCCAAAAATTCTAATTAAGTAGGCCTGGCTGGGCTCCATGAAATCTGCATTTTAGAAAGCACGCGGGTGGCCCGGCTCAGATCGCAGGAGGACCACTACCTCCGTAGAGGAGGATAAGTAAGAACAAGGTTTTGAGAAGCACGCCCCAGAAGCAGCTCTGCTGGACCAGGGTCCTTGCCCTACCTCTCACTCCCGCAGCTTGGCTCTCCTCCCACTGGGTTTATTTGGAACGCTCCACCGCGGGTGAGTGTCGTGCAGGTGCTGACGGTTCGCTCGAGAAGGCAACTCTCGGCCGCCAAGCCGTCCGCCGGGAGCTACCTCGTCCGGCCCGAGGAACCCCACCCCCGCTGCCCGCGATCCCTACCTTCTCCTCCGCCCGGCCGCTGCCTGCCGCCCGCCGCCAGATTCAAATCGCCGGCCCCGCCTCCTCGGTACCGGCGTTAGTCCACGAATCTTTACGCCGCCGCTGTCCACACGTGTCCACGCGCACCCCGAACTCTCCCGGGCCTCTACCTCGTCGTCCCAGGACCAGGAGTGGCTTGGTGAGCTCGAGAGAAGCCACCACTAGCTGCAGGTGACGCGCCGACCAGAGACACCTGCTGCTAACCTGTATCCGGGGGGACTACTTTCCGTGAGGGTCTCGCGGAGGAACCCTTCGGTTATCATCTTAGCCCCGCCCCCGTTTTCCAATTGGATGCTGCAAACTTCGAAAAGAATCATTGGACCAATCCTGGCAAGAACGACGGGAGGGCTCTTGCCCAATCATCCAGTCCAGACAGCAGCCGTTTCGTCCGTGGTTTGAGCGAGTGGGAGGGGAGCTGACTTGTATGGGTCCCTGCTAGAGCTCCACCTCTTTCCTTCCAACCCCGCCTCCCTATGCAGATGAGCTCTACCTGGTGTTGGGTTTGCGCCTGCTCAGTAACGCCTAGAGCCGCTGTTCGGCTCCAGGTTGTGCTGATTGGCTGATAACCCTTCCCGTCTGCAAGACTGCAACCTCTCTTCCCTCCCTCCACCTGGGCTGGGTTAGTATGAGCCCACCCAATGCAGGGTGAGGATTGGCTGAGTTCTGTCCGGCGCTGCCAGTTGATTGGTGGAGCTTGGAGTCAGTCTGGGAGAGGTGGGGGAAGGGTCCCAGGCTGACTGAGGAGCCCAGGGGCGGGGTGGGAAGGAGGACCCGCCAACCCTGGGGTGTGGGACCTAGAGTGCGTGCGTGTGTGTCTCTGTAAGAGAAGGAAGGTGGCGAAGGGAGGAGAGTACGAGTGGGTGGAGGGAGGGGAAGGGCGGGAGAAGAAAAAGGTGGGAGGAGAGCCAGGTGGGAGGGTGGCGACTCACTCAGGACCCAGTGGGGGCAGCGCGATGAGGCGGGTGACCCTGTTCCTTAACGGCAGCCCCAAGAATGGAAAGGTAAGGGGGTCGGGAGGAGGCGGGCCGCCTGCTGGGGGAGAGGGCAGCGGAGCGCGGAACGGGCTGGCAGGGCAGAGGGCTAAAGTTGGGGAGAGGGGCTGGGAGGTGGGCGTGCGCCGGGGTGGGGGGCGTCCAGGAGGTGAACGTCGGGTCCCCGCGGCGTCCTCCCAACCCGCGGGACTCCTGACCCTAGCCCGCCCTTCAATTCCCCAGCCGCCCTGGGGGCCAGCGCAGGTCAGCTTGTGCTTTATCGTTCCCACGTCCAGGTGTGGGTCCTGGAAAGCGGAGGACTCGGAGGGCGACGGGAGGGCCGCTGTCACCTGAGCGCTTGGTGCTGATGTCCCTCTTCCCACCTCCTCCCCAAAGACCCCGCTGCCCCCCAGCCCTGGCTGTAGAAGGGCTCTGTTGCCACCTTCGTGCTGAGTAATGGTCTGCTCCAGAAAGTGGTGGTTAACAACTAAGGCAGACACGGAAGGTTGATCAGGTAGAAAGAATAAAACTGTTTATCGGTGGATAAATAAAATATTCTTCTATCGTAGGGTGCACAGAAAATTGAAAATTAGGGACATTTTCTTGATGGTTCCTACCTCTGTCTTTTAGGCGCCCTAAGCCCCGCTGCCGCCAAACTTACGTACTCACTTTATTTCGCCTTGTTTTAGTTCCTTAGAAAGACTGTCACAATAGACTAAAATGGATTGATTTGACATTACTAGTTGCTGTGTTAGGCCTTTGTTGAGGGTGTGGTACCAAATATTTTTTCCAAGGCTGGAGCAAGCCAAAATGAATCCTGTTCCTTCTCAAGCCGCTTGCCCCACCCATGAAAGTTGTTCGGCTTCTTTGGAAAATTTGACTGCTCAAGGCAGACATTTATGATGTGGCTAAATGACATCTAGAAGTAACGATGCCTTAGAGTTTAAAGTAAAGGTAAATTGACCTCACTATATTATTTGCCAGAATACAGTACTTCGTTTCCTGCATATTTTGGAAACAGTATGTTTTTAAATGTAATTGTGCCCCGGTATAAAAAATGGTTTTCCACCTACTCTGAAATTTTAAATAAATCTGCTCTAAAAATTTGAACCACGGTCTAGTTTGTTGACTATAATTTTGTGTTATTCTGATTTTAGGGATTTAATACATAAAAACAACTGGCATATATTCAAGTTCTTGAGTTTTCATAAATGTTACTTCAAAATATACTTCACAAGATTTATATTATTTCTGACCATTAACTTTTTCTAAACCTGTGTTGTCTGTTAGCTACTAAGAATCTAAAACTTACTGTTACTGGAAGAAAAAAATAGTATATCCAAACAATTGTGATATTTTCTCAAAAGCAGACCTTTGATTGACCTTTTTATCCAGCATCTCATTGTTCCTCTCTGAAAGACAAGATGTTTAGACTCAGTCATAAATATTTAACTGTGCTCTAAATCTCCTCTGAAACCACTGAATTTTGTTCTTTCAAAGATCGGCTATGTTAGTCTTACCATATGTATTTTTTAAGCTATCTAGTTTTGACTAGATTAGGTTTTTGGGTTTAAAATTTTTGTTTCAAAAATATTTTCTAGGGAGTCTCAAAAGATTGGAAAAAACCCATCTCAAGTAAATGAAGATAAATATATTTATGTTGTGACGATCATAAAGATCCAAACTGCAGAATACTAATATGATTCAATATTAAAAATCATACTATAATCCTTACTACTCAATTGGAAAACATATTCTATGCCAAAGTTCTGTTTCCTCTCCTCTCTCTCCAGCTGATTTTAAAAAAAATATATACTACAATTACTCTTATTTGACAAAAGATCACAGAATAATACGTAACAGCTTGCATGTTTATATAAATAATGTGACTAGAGCTAGCCAGGATTGGCATGATCGTGACCTGATGTTCATGAAAAACATGCTGAAACAGAGCACTACTATTAGAGTTTGATTTTCCATCCAGCAGTTAGAATATCTGGCACTTTCAATCTCTCATTAACTTAGCTTCTATTTTTGCTTCCTGGTCGTAAGATAAGTGTCTGTTTTTTCAAATAAGTTTCCCTCCTATAAAGCTTCTTCAGTGGTTTCCAGACCGGGCCATAAAGCCTGGGCTTGGAGAGGCACAGAATTACCGCAGGGAACTACATATGCTTACCATGACTTTTCTGTATACTGAATAAACATAAGTGTTACTAGTGCATGCTTTGATGTTGTGGTTGTAGAGAGGGCTGTGCATGCTCTAAAATAGTGCTTTCCAGAGTGAGACAGTACACCGCAGGGGAGTTTAAGAAGAAATAGTATACTTTATATTTTTACTTAGAAATATAAAATCATATTAAAACTTGATTTTTTAATCCGTAAAGACGGAAGTGCTTTCAATTACTGAATGTGTCAGGTGGTCTCAAGTCTACTGAGAGAAGGGAGTGCGTTCACATGTGAAAACTTCTTCGCTGGTTGGTTCACTTTGGTATATTGTGATGTACTGAAGCACACAAGTGCGGGTTAAGATTTGCATTATCCAGTTTTAACTAAATTAACCTTCACCAAAATGCCAAGTGGCTTTAAAAGATTCCTTCAAAGAAGCTGCAGACCGAAGAATATTAGTTACGTGAACACAAGTAAGCGATGAGAAAATGGCAGAGCTACCACTTCTCCAAATATAAACTATGAGACTTGGGGCGGTGGGGGGGAAGGATCTCTGGACCTGAGAAGTCAAAAAGTGCCAAATTTTATTTTATTTTTTTAAAGATTTACCTATTTGTGAGAGCACACACATGTGCGCAAGTGGCGGGGGGGGGCAGAGGGAGAGAATCTTTAAAGCAGACTCCCCACTGAGCACGGAGCCTGAATTGGGGCTCAGTCCCATGATCCTGAGATCTGAGCCGAAACCGAGAGTTGGACGCTCAACTGACTAAGCCACCCAGGCACCCCAAAAAGTGCTGAATTTTATTTTATTTATTTATTTATTTTTTAGATTTTATTTATTTGACAGAGACAAAGCGAGAGAAGGAACACAAGCAGGGGGAGTGGGAGAAGGAGAAGCAGGCTTCCTGCTGAGCAGGGAGCCCGATATGAGGCTCGATCCCAGGACCCCGGGATCATGACCCGAGCCGAAGGCAAACGCCCAACAACTGAGCCGCCCAGGCACCCCAAAAGTGCTGAATTTTAAAGAAGATTTGAAGTCCTGTTTAATAACTGCTATTAAGCCACTCCCTAAGTGTATAGTGTTCTTTGAAACATTAGCCAATGATGAGATGAGGTCATCCTAATTAGCAAGATGTTTAAAAATATTTTCCAACATATGAAGACAATTTGAGATGTTTTTCTTTTCCTTTCTTGTTTCTTTTCAGTGTTTAAAATCAATTTTATATTTGGCAGGATTTCCCTAAATTTAATGATAAATATTTAGGGGACTTTTACTGGCCAGCTCCATATTCTAAGTCGATAAAGGTCTTCACTTGGGAAATCATATTTTTTTCTGACTGTGGCATAAACTTTATAAATAAGTAAATAAATACACGAATGTTTGAGCACATGCCCAAAAATGTTTTACCGATGGGGTACATAGTCAAAAACATTTGAAGGCCATAATTCTAAAAAATTGGGATCTTCAAATTTAACTTTTTTAGTTGCTCCAAAAGAATCAGTTGTATTCTCTCATCCTTTCTCCATATGCCTCAGAATTCCCATTTTTCTCTTTTTGATATTCTCTGTAAATAGCATTAAGTAATTTGAAATGAGGACTCAGATACCTGAATGTAGTGAGTGATTTCTGAGCAACCTGATGTCAGTTCAGAATTTCTGTACATCTTGAACAGAAGTTGCTTTAACTGAAGAATATTCAGGAATAGGCTGTGCAAGTCATAGACCTTTTGTATACATTATTTATTCAGCCAAAACTAACTGATTACCTTCTTTGTAGAAGGAACCATGCTGGCTCACTGCAGACATAATGGGACATGAAATAGATCTTTTGTGCTGATGTTTATACTCTTAGTCCAGGACTTAATTGTTTTCTTCTGGCTTTGATATTAGGTCAGAAGTATGTTGTTGGTGTTAAGTATCCAGATTTAAATCCATTATATTAAGTTGAAGGAAGGTGAAATCTATGTGACCTTTGCCTATTGAAATCTAAACAATAAGAACATTGCTCTTCAACTTTAAACATTCAAGAAATATATTTGATACACATAAAGAATATTAATATGCATAAAAATTAAGACAAAATAATATACCAAATATCAGTAAACCTGCCACAGAAGGCAAGAAAAAGTGTGTTATCAAAACTTAATGTGCTTGTTCACTTTCCTATTCCCTTGCTTATCCATAGTCAGCCAATTTCATGAATGCTGTATTTCTCTTTGCCAGTCTCTTTGATAGTTGAGCCACATATATATATGTATAACTAAATTATATGTTGTTTTGTCATCTTCGGGACATACCCTAAATGGATGTCATATGTAATCTTTTTGTACTTACATTTTTCATTCAATATAATATTTCTAAGATTACATCCATAATGTCCCACATAATTTAGTTATTTTTGCTGCTTTATAATAGTCCACTGTATACAAGTACTATCCCATTTTATCTGTCCTCCTGTCAATGGACATTTGGGTTGTTTATTTCTTTATATTTTGCTATTAAATTGAAAGTGTTGCCTTCAATATTCCTGGTATGTATCCTGGTACACACATGCAAGCATTTTTCTAGGGCAGTGGATTGCAAACTTTACATGCATTGGGATCAGTTGGAGGAATCGAGCGAACACATTGCTGGGCCCCACCCTCAGAGCTTCAGATTCAAGATCTGGGATGGGGTTAGGAATTTGAATTTCTAACATATTTCCAAGGTGATCCTAATGCTGCCAATCTAGGGACCACAATTTTTTTTTAGATTTTATTTATTTATTTGAGAGAGAGAGAACATGAGCAGGGGGAGGGGCAGAGGAAGAAGCCAGCTCCACTTTCCTCTCCCCCTGCTCCAGTGAGATGCGGGGCTCCTTCCCAGACCCAAGACTCAAGGACCGTGACCCAAACCGATGGCAGCTGCTTAGCCCACTGAGCCACCGAGGCACCCCTAGGGCCCACACTTTTGAGAACCAATGCTCTGGTGAATATAAGTTATCCTAACGGTTGACCCTTGAACAACATGGGTTTGAACCGCATGGGCCCGCTTATGTGTAGATTTTTTTTTCAATAAATACCTATAGTACTATATATTTTCTCTAGCACACTTTATTGTAAAAATAGAGTAACATAACTTACAAAATATGTATTAATTGTTTATATTATTGGTAAGGCTTCTGGTCAATAATAGGCTATTAGTAAAGTGTTTGGAGAGTCAAAAGTTATATGTGGATTTTTAACTATACAGGGGAGGGGGAGTTGGTGCCCCAAAACCCTGCATTGTTCAAGAGTCAACTGTATTGGATGTTAGGTATATGAATGTTTAATTTTTTAAATGCCGAATTGTTTTTCAGAGTTATTGCAGTAATTTATATCCCACCAGCATTGCATAAACCTTCCCACTGATCGACATCCTCTTCAACGCTTGATTTTGTCAGACTTTTTAATATTTAATATTTTAATATTTGCCTTCTTAGAGTTATCTTTTTTAGAAACAAAATAATTTAAAAGTATGTGGAATTTAAGAAACAAGACAAAAGAGTATAGGGGGAAAAAAGGAGAGGCACAAACCAAGAAAAAAAACTCTAGAGAACAAGCTGATGGTTACCAGAGGGGAGGTGGGGGGGATGGGCTAAATAGGTGATCGGTGATCGGGATTAAGGAGTGCACTTGTGATGAACACCAGGTGTTGTATGCAAGTGTTGAATCGCCATATTGTACACCTGAAGCTAATATTAAACTGTTAACCGAAATTTAAATTTTAAAAAACCCCAATTTTAAATGTATTAAACTAAAAGTGTAGGTAGAGTAAATTTAGTAATTGTGATTGATAGTTAGGTAAATAAATTGAGTAAGTATTGATAGTGTCTTAGTTAATAGATAATATGGGCATGTAAGAAAAAATGCTTTAAGTACATGTGCGGGTTTTAATTTTTTAATTTGAATAACATAGGTTGCAATTTGAAAATGGTGTTTAAAGGCAAATTAAAACTCACTAAACGGATATGCCCTCCTAGGCACAGTACAACATTTACTTTCCCAGTTGGTAGATGGCTTTCACTTGCTTTAGGGTCTGAAATTTAGAAAGGGTTAAGTTAAATAGTAACGTAATATGGTTCTCATTAACTTAACTAGATGCCCTTCTCAGTTTACGCCATAGAATGCTTCCATTCTAAGTATAGTGCCTTGTTTATTAAAGTAGATAATCCAGTAACATGGGAACTCCAGGTCCACCCTGGGCAGCATATAGCCATTCTTAGCATGATCATTTTACAAATGCTTGGCCTCTCTGAGGACTAAAATAAGCTTATTATAAACAATTACAGCTCAAATCTGTGATATTACAAGATTTCCATTGCTGCTTTCTCCCCAACAAACTTGTTACATAAAGAAAGGTACATGAGCCAGTCTATTAGAGACTTTCTTACCCACTTAAAATGTTTTCCAAGCCTATCACATTTTTATGTTGGTATATATCTATTTTTAAATCAGATATTCTGATTGGTTTATATGAAAAACAGATTTTGATTATGTTTGCCATATAATTCTATGTTATTTGTTAGTATGCTCAAGAGAGTAAAGCTAAAGTGATCTAATTAAAAAACATGCCAAAAATGCCCTCCAAATGAAAAACAAGTGCGGTAGCCCAACTTAAGGGCAATTTTCAAATCTACAGAACTGTAAGATTTCTTGCAATAATTTCACTATTGTTTTCTCTAATTGACGGCCTTTTGATTATCTTATTTAAAGGAAAGTGTTCATTGCATAACAGATACATTAAATTTTCATCCGTTTTATGATAGGGCTGGTTGAGGGAGAGAAGTGAAAAGAAATGCTGGGGGAGAAAGTTGGTGTTCTGGCAAGGAGGAGATAATGTCAGGCTAACCAAAGCCATGTAAAAATATATAAAAAGCAAAAGTCAATTAGAAAATTTTTATATAATAGCAACTATGACAAGAATGCTGATGTTGGAAAGGATTTTCTTACCCTCCCCTAACAGTTTCCAGGCTGTAAAAGTCGATTTGCATTTGCTTTGGTCAGTCTCTTGTGTTTCTGTGCTTTTGATTCTTTTGTTTTCTCTCCACACCCTCTCTCTTAGCACAGGTGGGTTTGCTGCACCTAATGCCTTATATATTTTTTCTCTTCCTTTTCTCCCAGGAACATGTATCTGCAGTAACAGAATTCCAGGCTGTATTACAGAGGTGAAAAAATGATAGGAAATAAAGGAGACACATTTTATTCAAGTTTCAGTTATTTATGGCATGTCTGCTCTGTCAAGACTGTGCCAAGTGCTTTCCATTATTTTTTTTTTACCATGGCAAGATATACATAACATAAAAGTTAGCATTTTAGCCATTTTTAAGCATACAATTCATTGGCATTAGGTACGTTCACAGTGTAACGTCACCACTGCTTCCAAAATTTATCATACCAAATAGAAGCTACCCATAAGCAATGACTTTCCAATTCACCCTCCACCCTGGTAATCTTTATTCTACTTTCTGCCTAAATATGTCATATAAGTAGGATCACATAATATTTGCCCTTTTATGTGTCTGGTTTATTTTACTTAGCATATGGCTTCAAGATTCACCTGTGTTGTAGCATGTATCAGAATTTCATTCCTTTTAATAGCTGAATAATATTCCATTGTGTGTATATACCACCTTTTGTTTATCCATTCATCTGTTTAAGGACACTTGGATTGTGTATGACTTTTAATCCACCTACTTCCCTTTAAATTGTACTTACCTACAGCCCTTCCCAAGAATTCCCCAGCTTGCAATACTTATCTGTCCTTTCATCCTTATGATCCAAGAGAAAACAGTTGGGGATCTGAGTACTCTGCCATGAAGATTGCACATTCCCGTATTAGCAAGCAATTCCCTCCATACCCTGCTATTCGTTACATTTATTTAACTAAAAATTCAGGGTCTACTAAACTCCAGTCACTGGTAAACAAAGGATCAGCCTTGTTTCTTATTTCATATGGCACTTTGATCCAGTATCCTGTGGGAAGTTGATTGGCTGTTCGTTCTTCATGTTCAGCCCCTCATCTATGTTTTATTCGTAATTTTCAGAGATCCTAACAGATAACAGTACAACTATACAACTCAGCCACTGGGAACCCATAGTTAAAACTATACTGGAGCAAAAAAAAAAAACTTAACTACATGTAGAGATTCTCAGCCCCCTACCTAAGCATTTGCATTGCTTATGCATATATCAGACTGTGCCTGATGTAAAGCAGGAGAGAGCGATTCACTGTATCCCAGCTGTTGGCTGTATTTAGAATGTTAGCTAAAATCTGGCTTTTATAAGTCGTTGCTGAAGAATTAAATAAATGAAGTGGGAAGTTGTTATTTCACGTGGTGGTTGATGTAGTAAATGTTATTGTAAACAGTAAATCCTATTTTTAAAATAAACCATTCCTATAACAAAGGAATAACGTAAAAGCAACATTATAAAGACTTAATAGGTCTCAGGCACTTTGCTAAGCTCATACTGTGCATTAACTCATTTCATCCTCATGACCTGATATAGGTGTGACTTTTATTCATTTCTTGTTAAAACAACAGAAGCATAAAGAGGTTAATTTGGCTCATGTCAACAGCTAGAAAATGTCATAATCTACATTCAGGTGTGGGTCTGTCTTCAGAACTAGAGCGTTATTTAACATACATAAGATTGTAAATTATTTTCATGCAGAGATGATTTCTTACACTCTAGTTTTGGATTTCAGCAACATTAGATGTAAGAACCTCTCAGAATCTCCTTTTATTTGATAGTCTCATTTTTAGTCCTGTTTGTAGTATGGTGGTTTATAATTTGTAAGTAATGAAATTCATTATATAAGTTGTCCAAATTAATCTGGTGTGTTCACAGGTGGTCGCTGTATATGGAACTTTATCTGATTTGCTTTCTGTGGCCAGCAGTAAACTCGGCATAAAAGCCACCAGTGTGTATAATGGGAAAGGTGGACTGATCGATGATATTGCTTTGATCAGGTAACCTTCACCTTCTTATAAGCTGTCTACAGTGTTCCCTCAGCATCTTGGTGCTCTGCTGTTTCCCTTAAGCAGTAGTTACTGGTAAGAATACAGAATTTTGGCAATGATTGCCTAAAATTTGCTCTTTAGAATTTAAATAATTTGGACTTCTTACTATAAGGTAGAAAATCCTCAGTACATTCCAGTATTTTGATAGTCTTTCTGCATATTTCATACATGACTATAAGGAATTTTTTTGTTATTAGAGATGAATCTAATAAGACATGCAATTTGGGAGGGGTGTCAAAATTTATTTTCGTATTAACAAAATTGATGTACATACATTAACTCATGACTTGATTGCCTCTGAACATGTGTTTTTGTAAGATAAACTTAAAATCTTGATTCTTCTCTACTTGTTATAAAATAGCCCTCCCAGAGAAGCAGGCCAATTTGCTAAATGACTAATTTACACAAAGCCAGTTCACCAAAAATCAGTTTGTCGAATGACCAATTTGCCGAGTGTTTTCCAGGTGTTAATTTCACCACATCTTTTTATTTTTTTTAAAGATTTTTTATTTATTCATTTGAGAGAGAGAGCACACAAGCAGGGGGAGAGGCAGAGAGAGAGGGAGAAGCAGGCTCCCCTCTGAGTCAGCCGGGAGCCTAATGTGGGGCTTGATCCCAGGACCTGGAGATCATGACCTGAGCCAAAGACAGATGCCTAACCATCTGAGCCACCCAGGCGCCCTTCACCACATCTTTTCTACCTCTTTTCCCACCGCTTATAATTTGGGTTTGGCTAATATCCATTTGGCATGTTTCAAAATTCAGATGCCTAGAACTTCTGACTCGGAAGACATGCATTTTTTTAAATGTTAGAAATCTGATTGATCTCTTTAATTTTATATGCTACTGCTTATTGTTCATTTCCTAAGAATGCTTTGAATTTTATGAACCTTACAAAGACCTATTTTGGTAAAAACTTGCTAAATAAGGTAGAGCTTTAAGTAGGGTAAACTCACCAGTGATCTTCCACAATAGTGATTTTCTGTTTGTTGGGTTTTGTTTTGTTTTTTAAATATCCCAGGCAGATTTATCTCTTTAAAACAAGTGTTAGTTCACCTCATTCCATTCTCATAGACTTATAGAATTTTGGAGCAAGAAGAGGCTTAAGAAAGAAGATGGGGGGGGAACGCTAAGAACTGACTTTGCCTGTTGCCTTGTATTGGCTCTGCCCAAGTCACCTCATTTAATTGGCGAGGCAGGAGGTCTTTTAAACTGATGGTATGAAGATAATGATGCACTAAATTACAATAGCTAATACAGAACTACAGTTTTAAACAAAACTAATACAAAGTTTAGTTTTTGTTTAAACTCAGGTCAGAATGACCTTTCAATGTAATACACTGCTTTTGAAGGTAATCGCTTCTAATCTCTTCATTTTATAAATGAAGAAACTAAACATTTGAGAAGTTCAATATCTTACCTGGGTCACACAGTTTAGTAGTTGATTTTTGTTAATGAGAAGAAAACAAATGTTCATACTGTCTTAAAAAGTTAATTGGCATAGTGAGCAAGTAGAAAAGATTGTCGACTTAAAAGATGTAGCTTTAAAATCCAAATCAATTAGAATTTCTTAGTTTTTCAACATCTGTCTCCTAGCTTCTTTCCGTTTCAATAGATAATTCTCATTGTTGGATGATTTGCATCAAGCTAAATTTCTCCTTAACGCAGATGCTGCCTCTAAGAAATATTCAATGCATTCCTGTGATGCCTTACAGGAAATAAAAATTTCTACAACATAGAAGGTCAGAACTGAAGCCTTCTGAACTAGAAAATATCTACCTGATTAAGAATTTGTGGCTCACAGTGTAACCTCTGACCACTTATTTGCACTAATGGTGAGATATGTTGAGGCAGGGGAGGAGAATATACACTGATAATCTAGAATTTTGGATTATGTGCAATCATTTTACCTTTGGGGGTGTGGTGGGTGTTAGTAAGTTTTTATAGCAGAGTTCTGCTTGCAAATTATATTCTTCCTAGATGTAACATAAAAATGTATTTTCATTTCCAAAGCACAGAGCAGCTGATGATTTAGAAGAAAACCTCAATAATTTATTGAGGGTTACAGAATTAAAGTAAAAAAAGAATTGCCATGGCTTTAATCATATCCCTTGAGCATGAGACTATGTTCTTCAGTTGATAAGAAAGCTGAATTCACATAATTAGCATAGTGGGTTTTGTTTTGTTTTTGTCATTTTAAAAGTTCTTCCATGTGCAGGACCTTATTTGAATTTAAATCCAAAAACCGCTAAATCAAGAAGTTAAGCAAAGCACTGGAAACTTAGTCAACTTCCTTGCAATATAGATTGATAGCAAAACCTGCCTTCTACATAATTCTAAGTGATAGGCCCTCTAGTCAACTGATAATTAATGTGATTTCTGGATTTTGATGGTGGCTTTTAAATTTTGATTTCCCCAGGGATGATGATGTTTTGTTTGTGTGTGAAGGAGAACCATTTATTGGTAAGTGACTTCCTTACAAGCCAATTTTGTCTGCCAAAATGAAAAAGATGGCAAATATTTTACATGCACTTACTAAGCTTAATATTGAAAAGGACCTCATGGCAGCATTCTGTTCTTCATACCTTCTTTGATTCTAAATTGGATGTGTGTGTGTCGAAGTAAAGTTTTAATTTGAATTATATTACCATATTTTAGTATGGATACCTCATCTTTTTACATGCCTTTAAAATGCTCTGTAGTACGCAGGTTCATCAAAGATGACAGGATAAGGTCATTTCGATTGTGGAAACTACAACTTTTGTTCTGATATGTTCTCCTTGATAGTAATTGTCGCAATTCCTGTGTGTTAGGTAACAGATTTTTGAGTGTACTGCTTGCACGAGTTAGCGTTTGACAATCATTCACAGTGGTCAGATCAAATCAGTCAAAATTACTTGGCATTAACCACACACAAGGACACGTACACTACCTTTTGATTTGGAAGAAAGCTTATACAGTTTTGCATCTCAAGAGAAAGAGCCTAAGGCTTAGATAACATCACTGTTCTTTAATGAGTATTTGATATATTTAGCTCCATACAGTCTGACCCTGAATATTTAATAATTTGCGTAAGCCATCACAGTAATTGTATTTGGTGAGTAGAGGGAGTTCTCAGGATCATCACACAAGCAGTTGCCAACTTAGAAGTAAGTATATTCTCTTCTCTGTCTCTACTTAAAACGATGAGCACAAATTTTTCCACAGCTTTTATCCATTAGCTTAACAAAGTGGTTAGCAAACAGCTGTCATTTAATTGGTTCTTTGCACACATGCAAACAAAAAGTAATCAAGTAGTGTTTTTGTCTTATCGTTATGAACTCTTGGATTTAAAAATATTTGTATTTCATGCTCTGCATTTATTGATGCCTACATTATTTTATGTTTGGCTGGTGGAAACCAACTCCTTTTATTACAACCCCATTGGTCTTTTATAGCTTCCTTATTATCTGGAATAACAGGGTATTCATCTTATACTTCTGTCGCAGATCCAGATCAATACGTTTTCCAAGAAGCCTTAATTTCTTTTAGTAGGAAATGTCATTTCAAAACACAGTCTGGGTGCCAGATAGGCTCATTGCTACTGGGTTCATTATTTTTACTAGGCTTTTTGGTGGATAGAGTTGGAAATACATAACTAGCTAGAGATGAAATTTATGTGTAATATATATTATATGATATGAAGGTTTATATAATATATGACATTATACAGAGGTAAAATATCTCCTGGGTTCATACTCCTACTTTGGTTTATAATCAGGATTGTAAGATTTTTATTTAACTTTTTCTGTCTTACACCTGTGTCTCCTTTCTTCCATATCAATAATTCTGGTTTTCAGGGACATAGGGAATGATAGAATTATGTCACATAAGTACTCATTTCATCCCACACAAAACACACATAAAAGTGTCAGTAACAATTCCAATACTTTCAGTACCAATATGATTGCTAAAGGCGGGTAAACATTTTTTGTCTATGCTCATTCCTTTCTTTCCTTACTTAAAAAACAATTGTATTGTTTCTACATTATCAGCTTACATAGCCATTATATACTATATTCTCTCTTAAAACTGTCGCTTAGGTTTACTCTTCCAAATGTATTTAGTGCTCACCCTCAATCCTTACGTTGATGCCTCCAGTGGTTGTCTGAAACTTGTTCTATAGTAGATTCTTTATAAAGAACTTCTGAGAAGAACAATGTTCTCTGACATTTCATATGTTAATAACAGTTTGTGGCTTCTATACTTGAAAATCAGTTTGACTGGGTATAAAATCATATGTCAAAACTGAACAAATTGAAAACTTTATGGTTTATTGTGTATCAATTATTCCTCAGTTAAGCTGTTAAAAAAAATCCTTGGTTCACATTTTCTTAAGTATCTTAAATATGTTGTACTCAATCTTATTCTGGCATAAAATGTTCGTGTCCAAAAAATCTGATCATTCATAATGATTATTTTTCCTAGGTCCCTCAAAGGATTATTCTCTTTCTTTAAAAAACAGTGATTTTTTTAATGACTCTCAGAGTCTTCTGAGCTGATTCTCTCTGTCTGATATGTGGTGAACCCTGTCAATATATACTTTCAAATCTTCTTTTAATTTCAGAAAAGTTTAAATTATGCATTCATTTTGTCCCCTTGCTTTAATTTTCTCCTTTTCAGTACTCCTATTGTTTGTATGTTGGATCTTCTACACCTGTCTTTTATATTGGAAATCTTCCTTGCAATCTTTTTCATCTCTTTCTTCATTTCTTACTGATTTTTAAAGCTTTCCTCTTTTTCATCTTTTCTTTCCCTTAAGGTATTACCTGTTTATTCTCTCCTGTGTTCCTTCTAGTTTAATCTTCATTTCTGAATTGGGTTTTCATTGTAGTTCTAATTCTCTCCTGAGTTCTCTCACCTCATTTGTGAATTTTGTAATTCTGGGTTATGTTGTTCTTTTCATATTTTGTATTATTCTTTTAGCATGTTTGGAATATTTGATTATAGTTTTTATCTATTTTGTGGGCATTTCTGGCACATTTTCATTGTCTATAGGGATGTAATTCTTTTTTTTAATTTTTGTATGGGATTTTCTGTTGCCCATTTAACGTGAAAATTAGTTTCTTTAACTTGAGAAGGGAGATCTGACTTAGGGAAGGTTTTCTAATTTCATGGCTCTGAAGTTCCCTTTTCTGTTGTTTGTGTGAAGTATTAAAAAATATGGAAGTCACCTTCTCATATATTCTGGTTGTGTTAGACCTTTTTAACTTTTATCTGGACTCCTTTCTCTTTTGTCTCTGTTGTCTTTGTTCTGTTCAACTTGGATTCTTTTTCCAACATCTTGTCCTTAGTGTATTGGGCTTTGTCCTAGAAGGGAGTTTTGGCTGGTGGGTTTTGAGGTTCATTTCCAGCCTCCTCAGATCTTACTGCAAACTACTTGTATCACCCACCCATGGATTGGACATATCCCTTCCACTTTCAGTCCGCTATTCTCAAATAGACTTGCTGAGCTTTGAAGTGAGTATGGATTACTTTGGAATTCTTAGGTTCATCATATACCCTGTTGTTTCTGTCAGCTTCTTCCTTCAAAGATGCTGATACCATGCTGATACTTCTATCTGTGGGAATACCTTACCAGATTTGTCTTAAATGCTATCAGTGGGTCTCTAGTAGCAGTGGTATGCTTTTATGTGTGTTTTTAGTGTCAAAAATGAAGCTTATTGCCATCTTCCCCATTAATCAAATCTTAACTTTTTTTTATTATTTTCTACATGTCATTTCTAGATCCTCAGACAGATTCTAAACTACCTGAAGGATTGTCAGGATCTCACACAGACTGGCTAACCTTAAATGTTGGAGGGCGGTACTTTACAACTACACGGTAGGTGCATGTGAATGTGTGCACAGGTGTGTGTTAGAGGACAGTATGTAGTATTTGTTCTTTCCTTCAGTTTTGCTCATTTCCGTAGAAGAGACTCCAGTACTATGTGATCTTAAACCATTTTTTAGAAAGTTTTTTTAAAGAGTAGAAAAATGATCCACAAGTTCTTCCAAAGAAAGCACGAAAGGTATGAACATGTTTTTTAGGTATCAAGTATTTTAGGGTTCTAGAACAGGTTTTTTAGATGTCAGATAATAAACATGCAACACAAGTAAAAATTAACAATACTGAAATTTGTAGCAACTACAGCTGCTTATGTTAAAGGGATAAGAACAATGTAAGTTTAGGGTGCCCGGGTGGCTCAGTTGGTTAATTGACTGCCTTCAGCTCAGGTCATGATCCTGGAGTCCCAGGATCCAGTCCCGCATTGGGCTCCCTGCTCAGCAGGGAGTCTGCTTCTCCCTCTGACCTTCCTCCTTCTCATGCTCTCTCTCTACCATTCTCTCTCTCTTTCAATAAATAAATAAAAATCTTAAAAAAAAAAGAACAATGTAAGTTTAGGTCAAGAATATTGTGATATAATGGCTTGCTAGAAAGATAGATTAGTGTTTAAGTTAAAGGAACCTAAAACAATATTTGAATCAAAGGAAATGCCAGAATAGAAGGGATTTTGACAAATGGCAACTTATTGCACGTTTTTGTTTCCCAGCGTCACTCCTACCAGGTTATAGCATGCATCTTTTTGAGAGAGCAGCTGGGATCGAGTATACTCTTGACTTAAATATGTTTGTTTATAAAGACAAATGGAGAAATCAATTTTTTTCCCTGAATTCTTAGGAGCACTTTAGTGAATAAAGAACCCGACAGTATGCTGGCCCACATGTTTAAGGACAAAGGTGAGTGCAACACATTGTTTTCGCATTTTGTGTGATCTGTTTGTAGCTGTATTGACTTATCTCTTGTCCTTCTGTACTTTTTAATGATATCAATAATTTTTACACGAGTAAAAACTTATAATGTTACACAATTTTTAAATTTCTAACTTTGGGTTTTCTTTGTGGGGGGGTTCTCTTCACTGTAATGGTGACACAGGTGTCTGGGGAAATAAGCAAGATCATAGAGGAGCTTTCTTAATTGACCGAAGTCCTGAGTACTTTGAACCCATTTTGAACTACTTGCGTCATGGACAGCTCATTGTAAATGATGGCATTAATTTACTGGGTGAGTTTTTAATATGATTCCTCACATTTTTGTAAGGTTAGGATTTTTTTATTTTGTTTTCACTTGCTTAGTAACATAGTACATTTTCAAAAAGGGAAAGTATATCTTTTCCACTTTTTTTTTTTAAAAGATTTTATTTATTTATTTGACAGAGAGAGAGACAGCGAGAGAGGGAACACAAGCGGGGGAGTGGGAGAGGGAGAAGCAGGCTTCCCGCGGAGCAGGGAGCCCGACGCGGGGCTCGATTCCAGGACCCTGGGATCACGACCTGAGCTGAAGGCAGACGCTTAATGACTGAGCCACCCAGGCACCCCTATCTTTTCCACTTTTAAAACTAAATTTTTATATATATGAGTATATATAGGTATAGAAATAGTTGTAGGCACAGATAGTCATTGTGTTTATGGGTATATGTCTAACCATAAATTCTGATTTTAGATTCTAAACAGAGTTAGATTTTTTCACGAGGGACTTTAAGGGATTTTGTTGTTTTTTTAATTGAATTGTGACTGTGACTTGACTTCAAGTTATGGACCTTCCCATCGTGTTGAGACGTAGAGTCATCGAAAGGGGAAATTATACCTCAGAATCATAAGACTGGATTAGAATCTCAATTCTACAACTTACTAGAAAATTAACTTGGGGAAAGTGTCTCTGAGTCTCCTTTGAAAACTGAGTATTAAAAATATACTCGTCCCTGACTACATCACAGGATTTTCACATCATGGAGATGATGTCAGCCAGAGCCCTTATAAAGCAGTAGATGCATATTCAAAGCTCCTGGGCCTCTATGTGACTAAATTTGGTCTGACTTGATGAGTGGTGGGGGGTGTGTGGCGATCTTGAGTGCAAATTCCTACTCAGCTTCCACAGATTATTGCCATGTGGGTGTGTGGGCATAGGGTATTAGAGCCTTGATTTTTAAAGAAAAGCTGGAAATCTAAAATTTTATGTGAAATCTTATGATTTTGAAAATACTACATGCCAAACACATTATAGTCAGCCTGGGCTGGTGGTGGGGCAAAGGGGCTAACTTAAAATCCCTGGAGTATAATAGACAACACTCAATAACTTTTATTGTTGCTGTATTAAAGTCTGTATTGCCTTTAAAGCTTACCCATTGCAAAAAAATGACCTTATTTGACCTTTCATCTAGCTTCATACCTCTTCATTACAAAATCTTGTTGCTTTCTTATTTTTTACCTACCAACTGTTGCTTAAAACCCTGTATAACCTATTTTTATTTTACTCATTCTTCAGAAATTATCATTAGAAAAATAAGCAGTGGTCCTCTCTTGTACAATCCTTTGCTTTTCAGCAGGTAGATCACTTTTGCTTACATTCTGGCGGCCACTCTTTTCTTCTGAGGACATTTAAACTTCACCGTAGGCATCCTATGGGCTCTTTGATGCTTCCTAGTTTAATTTTTCTCTGTATCACTGATAGCCTTTCATATCCTCCCTGCCTAGGAAATAACATCAGAAATACATATCCATGTTCTCCCAGACTTTAGCACTACAGGCTATTTGCCAAGCAATGCTTGCTCCTTTTTCAGGTTTCTCAGCCATTGCTTTATTTATTCAGTTGTTCAGCAAGCAGAGCTCTGTACTGGATTCATTTTATAAAGCATTACTACTTCTAATTAGTACAAAATCTATCCAAACTCTTTATAATATCTATAGGTTGCCCCAAGTAATTATATGCTTTGCAATAATCTACACTGACTTTTTTACCTCCCCTCTATTTACTTACATGACCTTATTTCTTACTCTTCCTTAGTTGTGCTTTCATCAGTGAATATATTTTTTGCTTGCTTTCATTATTTTTCTGCCATTAATGACCTTCACTTTTTCCAATGAATCATGTCTTCCTTTTCTGCTTTCATTTGTCTTCAAAACCTTCTTTTTCTGATTTTTTTTTCAAGATTTTATTTGAGAGAGAGAGTGCACAGGCAGGGGGGAGGGACAGAGGGAGGGAGAGAAGCAGACTCACTGCTGAGCAGGGAGCCCAACGTGGGGCTCGATCCCAGGACCCTGAGATCATGACCTGAGCCGAAGGCAGACACTTAACTGACTGAGCCACCCAGGCGCCCTTCTTTTTCCTGCTTTAACTCATCTTTCCCTACCTTGTAGGTAAATTTCACTTCAATCCAATTATTCTCTAACTTGAAAACTCTTCTAGCATTTCAGTATTTATTTCCTTGAAGTTCACATAAATTTTCTGAACCCCAGTTTGATACAGTAAAAAGAGAATGGTCTTAAATGTCAGAAAACATGCAATGTAATAATGATCAAGGTGATCATATATTGAGGACCTACCAAGTGCCAGGCATTATACCAAATAATATATATGCATATCTCTTTTAATACTTGTGTCAACTTTGTGAAGAAAGTGATAATACTCCCATTTCACAAATGTAAACAGGAACTTTAAGAGAAAGAATAAGTAGCTTCTCTAAGACAAAAAAGGAAGTGAGTGGCAGAACTGAGATTCAAATCTAATTTCTACTGTGCTGACAGAAAAATTTGCTAAATATTACTTTGGTTTCTCAACTGTCCCCCATAGGTGCCTTTTGTATTTCTAAGGCTTTTCCGGAAGTTTTTAAGGTTTGGTTCTGAACTAGAAGTAAAAAAAAAAAAAAAAAAAAAAAATCGTTACTCTATTCCTTGGGGGGTTTCTGACTGACTCAGAAGATCTTGGCACACTGAGAGTGAAGCCCACTAGAAACCCCTTTGTATGGTGGGTGTCTACCAGGGACAGATAGGAAATATGGGTGCCCCTTCAAGAGGAATCCAGAGATGAGGCCCCTCTGGCGTGGACTGGAAAGTGTCATGCCAGAGCAGCTCCCTGAGCAGTGTGCTAGCAGTTCATCAGATGACCTTTGTTTTGTAACTGGAATATTAGAGGTGGAATTGGGCTTTCCCTGAGAAGATCATAATCTTCCCAGATAACTGCTGAGCTTCCCATATCTACCTCTAGTTACCCTTATTAGCTTGAACTATTCGAAGAGAGAGATTGTCTCTTACTTTCTTTGTAATTTCTGAGTCCTTAGGAATTTTTTTTAACAAGTTAAAAAACTCAGCTAACTAAATGACTGAGGTCTTCATTTGAAGGAAAATGGATTCCCAATTTCTTCACAAATACCTTGATGAAAATGTGTAACAGATGTAAGAAAACAGTATGCACACAAGTCACCTAGAGAATGTGCAGATTTTTGTTTTTACCAAGAAAAGCAAATGATACATAAAATCCCTTTTATCATTTAGAAATCGTTTTTTTTAAAAAATTGAATTTCCTTAAGAGAGATTTCTGAGTCATTCTGTTGACTTATTTTGAAACTAATTTACTTTTATTCATTTCTATAATTTTCTGATGCAGTAAGTAAAAGATAATTGTGACAAACCCATTCAGATCTGCTGCATTGAAGTCAATGAAATGTTAAGATGAGGTGAACTAGTCATTTAATATTAGATTCACAATCAAATTTATTTCAATTATTTTAGGGAACTTGTGCAATTAGGAGTTTTTGCTTGTGGCCTATTTAAAGTGATTGTCAGAAAATTTTGAAATATAGAAGGCTTTCATTCTAATTCATTAGTTGTCTCTGTTTTTCTTTTGCTGAATGTAAACTATTTAGAAAAACTTTGTGTTACAAATACTTAAAAATATTCTGTATACATGTTCTACACATGAGTTATTTTTCTTCCATATTGATTGCCAGCTTGTTGAATTTCACTTGTATTGTGAGGATTTAACAAAGAATTTTATAAATATTAAAATGAATAGTTTTCTATAAAAGTCACATCATTTTTATTATGATAGGTGTGTTAGAAGAAGCCAGATTTTTTGGTATTGACTCATTGATTGAACACCTGGAAGTGGCAATAAAGGTAAGGCTCTTTTTACATTAGCCAGTATTACAGTTATTGTAATATAGTTATTGTAGCTGTCTCTGAAAATGCTCCACTAATTTTTTAATATCTTTTTCAAGAATTCTCAACCACCAGAGGATCATTCGCCAATATCTCGAAAGGAATTTGTCCGATTTCTGCTAGCCACGCCAACCAAATCAGAATTGCGTTGCCAGGTAATTAAAGCTGACTTTTGCATGAGTTATTTGTGTCAGCGAAGCTGTGAGTAAAGCTTTGCATTCTACCACAATTTTTTTTTTTGCCTTATGTTCCTTTTTCATGCAAGATAGAATTTAATTATGGGTGATAGCATTGATTTAATCCCAAAGTGATTAGCAAAAAAAGAGATGTAATGGCCTTTTTTATTATCTAATATGCTTCATGTAGCAGTTTTTGAGTAGTTCATCAGAATTGCAGCAATTAAAATAAAAAGTCAGTTGTTTGTACATTTGTTATGTATGGCCAGTCACTGGCAGATACTTTTATGTATTATTACATTAAAGATTTTAAAAACCTCAGTACTCACTTTTCAATAAAACTACCTTGAATTATTGAATACTTATAAAATATATAAAAATATATAAATAATACCTATCAGTAGGTACATGGCCAACAGAGATCGCTCTTTAGAAATTTCTGCACATAAATGAAGTATAGCCAGGCTGGATTCTAATATTATGTTTAGAGGTTCTTTTACTAAGAACCCATTAAGGACACTGGTTTTATATCTGAGTTTTATCTGATCCTATCTTCTAATAAACTCCAACTGACTGACCTGCCAATTGCTTCTAAGAAGCTTGGGGGTTAGCTAGTCATTAACTGTAATATAACAGATGGTTTAAATCTTGTGACAGTTTGTCTTTTTTTAATTTTAGGGTTTAAACTTCAGTGGTGCTGATCTTTCTCGTTTGGACCTTCGATACATTAACTTCAAAATGGCCAATTTAAGCCGCTGCAATCTTGCACATGCTAATCTCTGCTGTGCAAATCTTGAACGAGCTGATCTCTCTGGATCAGTGCTTGACGTAAGAATCGTTTTTTTGTTATAAGAGAGAATTAAATGTTTAGTCTATTGAACAGTCTCAACAAGCAGAAATGATCTCTCTCTCTTATTAGAGCTTTTACTTGAAAACAGATAATTTATTAAGTTGATAAAACTCAAGGCTCTGAAAGTGAAATGTGTTGGTTTTGCAACTTTGATATCCTTCAATAAACAAAGACCTGAAAGATTTAGCGACTAATAAATTAAATCTTGAAATTAGATCCTCATCTCTTCAATATAGTATACTTTAGAAGGACTTCTGTTTTCAGTGAATTAGGAGGGTAAAGTTGAAAAGGACCTTTGAGATCTTCTATTCAACCTCATTTCTGGAGTGGGGAAATGTTATTGCTCTAGAGGTATTTGGCAGAGATATTGTGAAATAAACATGATGTGTGTCAGTCTGTGTAAGTTAGCATCTTGGTGGCTCTCCTCCTCTGTATGTATATATACTTATGTGTGTGTGTGTTTACATGTATGTATGTATATATATATATATACACTTGACCCTTGCACAACACTGGGGCTAGGGGCACTGACCTCTGTGCAGTCGAAAATCCGCACATAACTTTTGACTCCCCAAAAACCTAACTATTAATGGTCTGCTGTTGACCAGAAGCCTTACCAATAACATAAACAGTTAGCATATATTTTGTATGTCATATGTATTATATACTATACTCTTACAATAAGATGAGATAGAGAAAAGAAAATGTTATTAAGAAAATCATAAGGAAGAGAAAATATATTTACAGTAATGTTTTATATTGATTTTTAAAAATCCACATATAGGGGACCTGGGTGGCTCAGTTGGTTAAGCATCCAGGTCTTGATCTCAGAATCATGAATTCGAGCCCCATGTTAGGCTCCACGCTGGGTGTGGTGCCTACTTAAAGAATTGGGGCACCTTAGTGGCTGACAGTTAAGGGTTTGCCTTCGGCTCAGGTCATGATCCCAGAATCTTGGGATCGGGCCCCACATCCTGCTCCTTGCTCAGGGGGAGCCTGCTTCTCCCTCTCCCTCTGCCTGTCTTTCCCCCTGCTGGTGTTCTCTCACTCTCTCTGTCAAATAAATAAAATCTTAAAAAAAGGGGGCGCCTGGGTGGCTCAGTCGTTAAGCATCTGCCTTCAGCTCAGGTCGTGATCCCAGGGTCCTGGGATCGAGCCCTGCATCGGGCTCCCTGCTTGGCGGGAAGCCTGCTTCTCCCTTTCCCACTCCCCCTGCTTGTGTTCCCTCTCTCACTGTGTCTCTCTCTGTCAAAAAAAAAATCCACATATAAGTGGACCCATGCAATCAAACCCATGTTGTTCAAGGGTCAACTATATATATAGGTGTGTGTGTCTGTACATATGTACATCATGTATTTATGTAACAGTTACCTGTGCTAATTTGGGGTTGGAAAATAGATGCAGAAACAACAGTGAAATTTAACTTCTAAACAACCTCAGTTTCCGGGCACCTGGGTGGCTCAGTTGGTTAAGCGACTGCCTTCGGCTCAGGTCATGATCCTGGAGTCCCGGGATCGAGTCCCACATCGGGCTCCCTGCTCAGCGGGGAGTCTGCTTCTCCCTCTGCCCCTCTTCCCTCTTGTGCTGTCTCTCATTCTCTCTCTCTCAAATAAATAAATAAAATCTTTAAAAAAAAAAAAAACAACCTCAGTTTCCTTAATACCAAGGCCCATGCCTATAGGTTTTTTGAACTAATAATACCTAACATGGTACCTTGGCTTTTTTTTTTTTTTTTTTGAGATTTCATTTATTTGAGAGAGAGAGCAAGCACGAGCAGGGGGAGGAGCAGAGGGAGGGAGAGAAGCAGACTCCACGCTGAGTGTGGAGCCCGGTGCGGGACTCGATCCCAGGACCTGGGATCATGACCTGAGCCGAAGGCAGACACTTAACTGAGCCACCCAGGCATCCCAGTACCTTGCTTTTAGTAGTCATTGAATAAATGTTCATTGAATTTTATAATTTTAGTTTTATTCCGTACTTGCAACCTATTTTTTCATGAAGTTTATGATACCGGATCTATAAAAAAAATCTGCCAATATACATTTCCAGTATTTTCACTCTCCTTGTCCCATCTTATGAGGAAGAACAACAATGGTAGCAAAATAAGCAAAAGACTACTAGCACAGAGGAAAGGTTTGAAGGACCTAGTCTTTAAATAGTGAAATGTTGAGAGACCACTCATGTGGGTTTTGTTAAGGACAAAACAAAAAAAGATAAAAAGACAGACTGGGTCATTCAGTACAGCTGATTTTGAGTTCTGTTGAATTGTATTAATACGCCAAACCTGAACCATAATTTTCTTATCTGTAAATACCTGTTCTACCCATACTGTATAATTGGTAAACTGAAGTGCTGTAGAATTGTAAGTTTAATTACTAATGATGGAAATGGCACATGTTGAAGAGTCATTGCCCAGGGTATATAGGTTGGGAAGTCAAAACTAATTGCTAATTGTCCTTGGCATTTGAGGATGATTACTAATGAGTAGCTGTCATATCCACAAAATAGGATGTGTGCTAAGCTCTCTGCCACACAAGATGTACTTAATGGGTCCACCACTCTTTTTGAACTTCTCACCCAGTGTATCACTCACAGGCTGTGAGGCCTTTCCATAGGAGCCATGCAATTCTCCTGTCAGGGTGATCGCAGTTGCTCTCCCTGTTAAGCAGAAGTCTGTGCCACATTATCTATTCTGTCAGCATGCTTTAGAGTGTTTGTTCTACATACTCTGCCTGCCATCAGTGACTTCAGCCTGCTGCATAGAAGCTGGTGTAATAATTCAGTTGTTACGTATCCATTGCATATTCCCATCCAAGATTGATAAATCGTAACAGGGACCTTGATGGTCATCAAGTATGACCCTCTTGTTTGGTAGACTGAGGCACTGAAACTGAGTGATTTGCCCAAGCCCAAAAAGGCTAGTTTGTTAGAGTTGGAGCTAGACTCTACTCTTAATCCCCTTCACCTATTTCACCCATTTGTTTGTTTATTTCTTAAATTCCATGAGAGTGAAATCATATGGTATTTTTCTTTCTCTGACTTATTTCAGTTAGCATTATGCCCTCTACCTCCATCCATGTTGTTACAAATGACAAGATTTCATTCTTTTTTATGGCTGAGTAATATTCGTGTGTGTGTGTGTATGTGTGTGTGTACCACATCTTTATCCATTCATTTATCGATGGACACTTGGGTTTCTTCCATATCTTTGCTCTTGTAAATAATGCTGTTATAAACACTGGGGTACATATATATCTTTTTGAATTAGTATTTTTATTTTCTTTGGGTAGATACCCATTAGTGGGATTACTGGATCATATGGTAATTCTATTTTTAATTTTTTGAGGAACCTCCATACTGTTTTCTGGAGTTGCTGCCCCAGTTTGCTTTCCCACCAACAGTGCACAAGGGTTCCTTTTTCTCCACAACCTCGTCAACACTTATTTCTTGTGTTTTTTATTTTAGCCATTCTGACAGGTATGAGGTGACATCTCATTGTGGTTTTGAATTGCATTTGCCTGATGATGAGTGATGTTGAGCATCTTTTCATGTGTCTGTTGGCCATCTGGATGTCGTCTTTGGAGAAATGTCTGTTCATATCTTCTGCCCATTTTTTAACTGGATTATTGTTTTGGTGTTGAGTTGTATAGGTTCTTCATATATTTTGTATATTAACCCCCTATTGGATATGTAATTTGCAAATATCTTCTCCCATTTAGTAGGTTGTCGTTTTGCTTTATGATTTCGTTTGCTGTGCACAAGTATTTTATTTTGGTGTAGTCCCAATAATTTAATTTTGTTTTTGTTTCCCTTGCCAAAGGAGACTTATCTAGAAAAATGTTTCTATGACTGATGTCAAAGAACTTACTGCCTGTGTTCTCTTCTAGCATTTTTATGGTTTCAGGTCTCACATTTAGGTCCTTAATCCATTTTGAGTTTATTTTTGTGTATGAATATAGGAAAGTGGTCCAGTTTCATTCTTTTGCATGAAGGTGTCCAGTTTTCCCGGCACCATTTGTTGAAGAGACTGTCTTTTTCCCATTGTGTATTCTTGCCTCCTTCGTCATAGATTTTTTTTTTTTTTGAGGGGGGCAGGGCAAGGGAGAGGAAGAGAGAGAATCTTGAGCAGGCTCTCCACCCAGTGGAGTCTGACGTGGGGCTCGATCTCATGACCCTGAGATCATGACCTGAGCTGAAATCAAGAGTCAGACACTTAACTGAGTTACCCAGGCGCCCCTCCTTTGTCATAGATTAATCGACAATAAAAGTGTGGGCTTATTTCTGGACTCTGTTCTGTTGAGCTGTATGTCTGTTTTTGTGTCGGTATCATACTATTTTGATTACTACAGCTCTGTAGTATACCTTGAAATCTGGGATTGTGATACCTTGAGCTTTGTTCTTCTTTTTCAGGATTGCTATTCAGGGTCTTTTGTGTTTCCATATAAATTTTAAGATTATTTGTTGCAGTTCTGTGGAAAATGCTGTTGGTATTTTGATTGGGATTGCATTAAACTTCTTGATTGCTTTGGGTAGTATGGACATTTTAACAGTATAGGTTCTCCCAATCCATAAGCACAGAATATCTTTCTATTTGTGTCATCTTCAGTTTGTTTCATCAGTGTTTTATAGTTTTCAGAGTACAGGTCTGTCATCTCCTTGGTTAAGCTTATTCCTAGGTATTTTATTCTTTTTGGTGCAATTTTAAGTAGGATTGTTTTCTTAATTTCTCTTCCTTCTACTTCATTATTAGTGTATGGAAATACAACAGATTTCTGTATATTGATTTTTGTATCCTGCGACTTTACTGAATTCAGTTATCAGTTTTAGGATTTTTTGGTGGACTCTTTTGGGTTTTCTCTATAGAGTATCATGTCATCTGCAAATAGTGAAAGTTTTACTTCTTCCTTACCAATTTGAATTCCTTTTATTTCTGTTTTCTTGTTTGATTGCTATGGCTAGGACTTCCGGTACTCTGTTA